TTAGATAAGTGCTTAGAGGGTTACTCTTCCTTAATTAATAAGCTCTATATAGGCTAGGGTAAGGATCCCTTAATCTACTATATTATTAACTTATATAAAGAGGTTCTAGATTACTAATAACTTTAATACCTAATCTAATAAGCAGGCTTAGTACTAAGCTATTTAGAGCTTGTACTGCTTGCTTATTATATTAGATAGCGTGATATCTGTTAGCATGTTAGGCTTAATAGGTTTATTCTTAAAGTAGTTTTTAGTATCTAGAGCCTTAGGGTCTACCTCTACCTAGATCCCTTTAGTTAGGGTATAGTATCTAAATTAAATGTACCAGGTAGGCTAGTTAGTTAATCTAGTAAGTAGGATATCCCCCTTTAGGATTTAGTTACTTATAGTAGAAGAGTAATAAGTAAGCTTTTGCTTAAGAAATAGTATAAAGAGTAAAGCTTGCTAGCTTAGTGTCTAAGTCAAACAATACGCTTAAATAGATAGGACAATCTTTAATAAGGTAAAGCGCGAACTAGGCTTATAACTATAGAAATTTAGATTACTAAGGTTAGGAATAATTTAGGAGATAGATTATTAGATTATATCTACTACGATTAGACTTATATATATAGAGCTTCAGCTACCCTTACTAGAAGGTGAATAATTAGTAAACCTTCCTTACTAGAGCTCCTGCTTTTTATTAGGCACTTGGCAGTGAGCTAGCAGTTGATTAGATAGTGGGTCATACAGGGGTATTGACCAGGATTGATCGGGATTGATTGGGATTAAGATGCTCCGTGATCTAGTTGATATCCCTCCTGCAACATAAGTACTATAAACTCTATAATCTAATTAAAAGTAGGGCTAAGCTAGAATATATTCTTAACATGTTACTAACACGTTAAAAGGCAAAGAAAGACTTAAAGCTATTAAGAACTAGGTAAAGCATAAGAGGCACATAATTATTATAGCTAGGCTTATTTAGAGTTATAGTAATCTTCCTAAGGCTATATAGGACTTACTAGAAACTATATTAAATACTACTAAATAGGCTAGATTAAAGGGTTATTATACTAGCACAAAACTACCTTTAATATAGGGGGTAAGGATATAAGTATATTAAATATATTATAGATATATTGCTAATATATTATATAAAGGGCAATTAAGATAGATAAGCAAGATATAGATAAGTATATAATAAGAGATAGGTATAGTAGCTAATATATAGATTATAATACGCTCTTAATAAGCTAGAGGTATAATAATAATATAGGCTAAGAGCTAAGTAAGACTATATAGAACGTGTTTTAAACACGTTACTAATATATTCTTAGAGTAGAAAAATAAGGTAATAGACTAAGAGATTTCTAATAAGAATAAAGAATTCCTTACTATATCTAATTTATCTAGATATATTAAGATACTAAGAAAGAGGAGGTTAACTCTAAGTCTACGTTGTGCCTAGTTACTTACTAGACTTCCTAGTCCTATAAGAACGTATGCAGGGTTATCCCCCTTATAAAGGGAGATATAGATATAAAATTTAAATAAATATATTATTAACGCGTTACTAACACGTTTATACAGAGACTCTAGTTTACTACCCCTCCTATTAAGCCCTTTACTAATACCCTCTAGTCCCCTACTTTATCTACCTAGTAGACTAATATAAGAATAAGAAGAGTTTAAAAGGAAGTAAGAGTAGGTAGAGTTTAACTTAAAGAGGAGAGAATAGGAACTTAAGTAGAAAGAGGCACTTCTATACCTATAATAGCAAGAAGTAGTAGTTAAAGAGGTAGAGAGAGAGCTTATAGTGTGTAAATATATTTAGAAAGTGTTATAGATATATTTTATATAAAGTAAAAATTTTTTATACGCTATACTATTTATAGCTTACTATAGTTTTAAGCTATAATACCCTATTATCTCTATCCTTTCTTCTTATCTTTATATACTAGGCTTAGTATAAGGATTAAGATACTACTACTAGATATATATAAAGAATAATATATTTATAATATATTACTAATATATTACTTATAGCCTACCTATTATAAATATGCTTTACTACTATATCTTCCTTATATATTAGCTAATTTTAAAGAAGAAGATAATAGTACTATAATTATCTACTAAGGGGAGCTCTTCTATTAAGCAAGGTATAGTAGTAGGGAATTCTATAGTATAAGTGTGCCCTAAATATATTCTTAACGTGTTTCTAATATATTACTAAAGAAAGTTTAGTAATAGGGGTAACCTTATCCTTTATATTTAAAATATCTATTAATTTTAGCCTACTCTTACCTAGACTAGTAGATCCTTAGTAAAGTATAAGTAGGATAGCCTAAATTTCTTCTATACTATAATAAGAATTTATTACCTTACTTTATCTAGTAAACTAGAGTAGGTAATATAGCTATTATTAGAGATATTTTTATAAGAATATATTACTAATATATTACTAATATATTTAGTTTCTAATACTTAGTTACTAGCTACTTCCCTACCTCTAGTGTAAGGGCTAGATTTACTACCTACCTTAGCTAGCCTACCCCTTTACTCTCCTAGGCTTCCTAGTATAGAAGAAATTATTCCCTCTATACTAGGAAGTCTAGAGCCTATTTAGAATATATCTAGAATATATTCTACCTCTACTAGCCCTAGCTATTAACTAACCCCTAGTAATAGTGTTAGCAAAGAGTAAGACGTCTCTTAGTTATTATCTCCCCTCTTATATCTACCTTAGTCTCCTCCTTTACCTAGTTTACCTATAGTAGTAGAGGTATTAAACTAGGTAGTGCTAGCTAAACGCGTTTAGAATAGGTTATAAACGCGTCCTCTTAGTAAACTCCCTAAAATCTAAAAGGTTACTATACCTACTCCTTAATATAAGGCTAGTAAGTATAAAGAAGAGGTTAATAATAAGAAGTGTAATTATTACTTAAAGAGTAAGGGTATAGAAACACTATACCTATAGTATAGTAATAATAACTTAAAAGGTAGATAAGTAAAAATATACTCTTAACGTGTTACTAATATATTATAGCATGTTCCTTTTATATAAGATGTGCTAATAGGTAATATTTTATATAGAAAATCTAGTTTTACTTATAGTTATTAATATTTTAAAAACTACTTTAATATATAAATAATTAATATTATTTATACTTTTTTTATAAAATATATTTACTATAGTTAACTATAGTATATTATAGTAAAATATACTTAGTATATAAATAAGTATATATTATTATTAGTTTTAAAAGCCTTTTAAGTTTTCTTATATATAAGTATCTATAGCTATTCTTATAAGTTTAAGTATTCTTTAGTTACTACTTTTTTATATTCTTTTACTATAATATATTAACTTAATAAAATATATAAAATACTTATAAATATATAACTTTTATTTATATATAACTAAGTATTAAATTAGTAAAGTATTTATTATATATAAAGTAATGTATACTTAATTAACTAATATATTTATAATATTAAAATATTTAATAAGTTTATAAACTTTTTAGCTATAACTAAATAAAAAAATATTATAAATATATTAGAAATATATTATTAATAGGTTAACTATAGCTTATATTATAACTATAACCTAGGCTTTTTATAAAGCCTACTAGTTTATATTATTATAGTGCTACCTACCTTTAATTATATTACTAAACCTATTAATATTATAATTAAACTAGCACTCTAATAACATGTTAGTAACGCGTTTATAATATATATCTAGTAGATACTTACCTTAAATAGCTTAGCTATAGTAGTAGTAGCAGATAGTATAGGGGATAACGTAGCTAGAGGTATAAGAAAACTATAATATTCTAATAATATTAAGCTATAGATTAAGGTTAGAATATATTTTAAATATATCTAAAATATATTCTACTTATATCTCTATTAGGTAGGTAGAAGGGGTAGATAGTAGGTAGACTAGTATTAATAGCCTAGGTTAGGCAGCGCTACTACTTATTATAATTATAAAGGTTCTCCTTTTTATACTTATACTCCTCCTAGATATCCTAGTACTATACTAAAATATATTAGTAATACGTTCTAAATATACTCTATACTACACTTACTAATAATACTATTAATAATATTATAGTTAATATTCCTAGTAGGATTCTTATAGGGGGAGATATTATTATAGCTATAGTTCTTAATATAGGTATAGAGGGTGCCTCTAGTACCTAGATATACCTATAGTATATATTAGAACGTGTTCTTAATATAATATTAATATATTCTTATACTATAGATACTAGTACCTATAGGGAACTAATAAAAGATCTTACTAATATTAATAATAGGGTTATTATTATAGTTATATTTAAAGGGCTAGAGGTTATAAGGGGTGCTATACTAGCTAATATACTAGTAGTAAGCTAGCTAGAACACGTTAGTAACGCGTTTAAAACGTGTTTAGGGAATACTTATATTAGAGGAGAGGGTCTTAGAAACTATAGTAGTAGATAATAAGGTTAAGGATATAAAAACGCGTTAGAAACGCGTTCCTAACGTGTTCTCGCTTAGCCTTGCTTAGTAAGGCTAAGATCTAGCTTGGCCCTCCTAACCTGCGTTAGTCTATAGACGGATCCATTTTTCCTATAGCTAGTTAACCTGCTTCCTCGCTTCGAGCGTTTTCGAACCACTTCTGTGTCATTGGTCCAAGCTTACCAGGACTGCAATCTACAGGCTACCGGTAAGGTACAGGGACAGTTGCAGTCACCACTTTCAGAAAAGAGCATCACAATTTATGATAGACATGTATTCCGCCTGCAACAACATCATTCCTAGACAGCTAGATACACACCATGTCCTCGTTGCGTGTGTAAGGGTCTGTCTAGCGTTTGAACAGGCAACGCGATCACAAAAACATCGACTTCTTCACTTTGACCGAAAGGTTCGGGTAATCTTGTTAAACTCTGCCGTGCTTGCGATATAGCATATGCAATCGCTACTCCCAGCCAGCGTTTAATTGTACCTCCCACGGTCCCCTAGGGAGGGGATGCGGGGGTAGGTTTGCGCGTAATGCGCTTCTCATTCGTCGTATTCGCTACGACGTTGTGGCTACAGTCGCGTGAGCTCGAGTCCTGCCTAACGTGAGGAGCAGCAAATGCGAGACAAACATATTGTCCCTATCACGAGTATCTACAGGCAATCATCCCTGAAGTCACGTTAGGTCAACGTGTTCTGCCAAGTAATCGCGGCTGAGTTCTGCGGGAGGTGCGGAATGGTAGCAACTTACCTACGACGCGGATGATCGAGACGGATAATCAATGAAATAATTGTGGCAATGGCTTTGAAAATGATTCCAAGGATGGTGGCGAGTTTGGTTGTGGCAAAGTTCGCAAAAGACCAGATGAGGATAGTTGCTGGTGATCATTGAAATAATGGTCGCAAGAGTGATCTTGAGGAGGTCCTTGAGGGCAATGCTGGTTACGAGCAATCGTCCAAATAGAGGCCAGGGACTTCCATGTCGAAGAACAATAATAAGAGTGTTGAAGAAGGACATTACACATCACTCATCAGCATTGAACGACGACAGGGTCAAGGGTGTAGCGGAACATGAGTGAAGTACCTGCCAGTATCAGGGGAGAACCCAATGGTCGAAAGAATGTCATCGCAATCCGTTTACTTCTGCGTATTCTTTGACAATCACGGGAATCTGTGATGCGCTGCTCGTGCCTTTGAAAGAGCTGAAATAGCAAATGTCGAAGACGATCAGTCGGAAGATACTGGATGGAAATTTGGAGAAAGAGTACTAAGAATGAGTGACTCAAGCATGCCAACTCCAGCCAAAACAATAGCAATCACACTCACCTAAGAGATGCTTTAGCGCCTACCCAGGAAGCTTGCGGAAAATCTCTTGGATACTTACATGCGACCGCATGAGTAAGCTGGTATATGAATGTGGCTGGACCTGCATTGGACACGGCACAAACACCAGTACAAGCTGCCTATTGAGTGCGAAAGCATTCCAGAACTGAGATATCCGATATATACTTCAGCTGGTTGTTATCGTGAGGTTCGAGAACTCCGTCTTTAGAGTGCGTACGTGAGTGTGCGCAGAAGCGAGGGCGATGGAGAAATGACGATGTGGCTACATTCGGAATGAGAAACTCTTGCCGTGAACAAATACAGGCTTGTAGCAATACATGATGACATGAGAGGGTTGCCACGACGGTTAGAGAAGTACGAGTAATGTCGATGGTTGGCGCTGGTATGCCGACCTCTGTTGAACAGTATGTAGACATCACGAGGTCTAGGGAGGGGAAGCAAGGCTGACGGAGGGAATCAAGGAAGGATGAAAGGCCAGTTCAGGGATTGAGCCGATGGCCGATCCTGTGTCGGCCTGCGGGCATGACAACTCGTAATCGAGTCAAACGCAATAGATGGTGTTGTGAATATGAGCCGCGATGACGAGAGTGGACATGCAAATGAAGCAGGGGTCGATGATGAGTCCAGGTTGTGGTACTGTTGACACGATAGTCAGAAGGTTCAGATCGTTGAAAGTAGAGGTAGAGGTAGAGGTAGGAGAAGAGATTGAAGAGTCGATAAATTTAGTACGATAAGCAGGTGATTTTGTTTGTTTACATGCCCCCGCAGAGCAATCTCGAAGGGCTAGGGAGTCGTCTTCAGCAAGTGCAAGTGCCTTGATGTAGAAGGCAGAAAACTGTCAGAGCTGTTCTTGCCCGCGCATCGGTTGGGTCCAGGCTACTGTGACTGTCATTCTGGGTCAGAACGCGGAGCCGCGACTATTCCCTTCCCACTGGGGCAAAGTAGGTGATGAAACTAAGATTGTAAGTGACAATTTTGGCTGCATTGGAACCCCTCAAGGATGGAGTGGACAAGATTATACCATGCAACGTGAACGTGTGGACAGCAGGAAGCATGAAAGGTATTCACGATATAAAGGCACAGTGCTGGTATTTCAATGCTACCTTTATACACGAACCCCGCCTTGACTGAAGGAGCACATCCAAAAATCTAATGATCAGGACCATATTCGCCATGACCAATACGTTTCGGGTTCTCTGCAGCCAAAGACGCCGATTTTTCATCACACGGTGGGCACTTTGCCCAACAAAGTGAATGAATTGACGTGTTCAGCAACGTCGAGAATGTAATGTGTATTGTGGGTGAATGCCTTGTTGAATGCACTTCGACACCGTCCTGCTACAAGTCGAACATGACTCTGCGTTCAAAGGAAGTAATCTGGTGTCCTTCGAGAAACCATGGGTTCGCCCGCGCGTGGACAAGGGTCGAATTGAAGGCTAAGCAATGTGGTCAGACAGGCGGCAGACGCATTTCGGATCAGAACTTACAAAGTGTATTTGAGATGCTCATCGATCTCCATAATTGCGGCTTGGTTACCGCATCTGTAGCAGTAATTCGGTGCTGACAATATCAGCAACTTGCTTGAAACGAGGAGTGATATAGCAGCGTACCTGAGAATATTGTCACAACATTTCTGTCTTGTGACCAATTATAGCCCTCCATAACGAGCTGGTGCGCCCTTGCAACGAGGGTGAGACCATTATTGTGATTGAACGCCTCTGAAATATCCTGGCCAAAGGTGTAGCCAGCACCACGGGGGGATATTCCCCAGCCACATCGGTCATCTGGGTCAGACCAGAGCAGGTCACACATGGGTCCCTCATGGGGAACTTCTTGTATGCGATCGAGAGCGCGGATATTGTCCAGTGTGTCGATGCTGGGTGAAAGACCGCCATGGAGACAAAATATCTGGTTGTCAATCAGGGCGGTAAGCGGGAGATAATCGAATAGATCGGTAAAATATTTCCAGACATTGGCGTTGCCGTATTTGCGGAGGCACTCGTCGTAGAAACCATACACCTGGGTGATCTGACGGGACTCGTGATTGCCACGCAGGATGGTAATACGCTGGGGGTATCTGATTTTGAGTGCAACAAGAAGCGTCACAGTCTCAACGGAGAAATAGCCTCGATCGACATAGTCACCTGCACAGCATCAGCATCATTAAAGGGAAGTAGGGTAGCACACCGCACCCATGAAGAGATAATTTGTGTCCGGATTGGGGCCACCAATCTTGAACAGTTCCATCAGATCATGGAATTGGCCGTGAATGTCACCGCAGACCGTGACGGGGCATTTCTGTAGTTGAATCAGTCGAGTGGTGCGAAGCAGGCACTGCACATGTACACACCACTGGCTGTACGTTGGACTCTTCTTGAAGCACCTCGCGAGCCTAGTATACCGTTAATATCAGACACTGGCTCGTTCACGGCGCGAATTGCGCAGACAACTGCGGCATACCTTGTCGCAGAGCCGCTGCACATCGCTTTCGGCGAGCTGCTTGCAGCTCATCAGGCTCTCGATCCAGCCGTCCAGCGTCGGAATTGTCGTGGGCTCTGTGGTGGGCGCAGACGACAACTGCATGGGCTCTGGCATCTTCACATCCTCCATGTTGGTGTCCATGGCGGGGTGGGGAAGAGGGCGGCGGGTTCGGTGGTGGGAGGTGGGGTGGTTGCTTGTTGTCGTGTAGTCGAGGGGTTGGTTCTTGCCCTTCAAACTAGGCAAATGACGTGCGGCCGCTGAGCGCGCAGGCTACTCGAGGAACAGGCGTGAGAGCGAGCTATGTGCGAGGCCAAGGTGGGTATGAGACGTGTGGAGAGGAGATGAGTAGAAGCAGTAGGGCCAATAAGTGGATGCAGCACCCAAGTCTCCAATGCAGTGAAGTCAGTATGCACGGCACGTGATGTACGGCGCCCAGGTAATCAATGTTAATGTTGGTAGGCGTGCGCAAGTGCTGGTCAGTGCTGATTATGCGGACATGATGTTCTTCCGGGCCCCGTCACGTGATTGCGCACGGACGGCGTTCGCGCGGCCGGCCTTGGCGGCTTGGCGTGCGGGACCGCCTGGTCTTGTGTCGTTCCTCGTCGCGACCTCTTTCTCTTTCCTACACTCAACTCCACCCAGCAATTGCAACCCACAAACACACAACCAGCAATTGCCACAACATGTTCAAACGTACTTTTGCCAGCGCCTTCGCTGCTATTAGTTCTGAGAATATGGAAGTCACCGTCGACAGCCCAGAACAGCAGGTATGTCCCCCATTGCTGCTCCTCACGTTAGGCAGGACTCGAGCTCACGCGACTGTAGATACAACAACGACTTACGGAGTACGAAATCTGGGATGCGCATTACGCGCAGACCTATCCTGCGTCCCCTCCCCAGGGGACCGTGGTAGGTACGGTCAAACGCTGGCTTGGTGCCGCGATTGCATTCGCGGTCCCTCGCCGCTTCGTCGACCGATTCCCTCAAGTGCAGCAGATCATTGCGATCCCAGTTATCAACAACGAGGGCTCTTTGAAGAAGCGCCTCATCGATGCTTTCGGTCTTGAAGAAGAGAGCCTCTCGTCTCGAGCAGCAAGAAGAGAAGCTCAGCTCCAATGGCTCGAAGAAAACCCATCACCCTTGACGCGTCGTCTGCAAACAAACATGCGCGAGCGCGAGTCGCGTTTCCACTCGCCAACGCCACTGCCACGCAAAATAAACATGCGTCATCTACCAGCCACACCAGGCTCACCAGACATCTGGTCACCTGGTTTTAACAACCCAGCTCCACAACGCATATCCCCCATCGCATTCGACCGAATTACACCGCCTGGCACACCGATTCTTGAGCCTGAATCCGATAACGAGGATGACGATCTCGACATCAGCCTGGACTTCTCCTTTTCAGACATTCTCACATCTACACCTCCGCGAAATATCGTCACAGACGCTCCCGAGCCCATCAATTGGAATAGCCCAAGCATCTACGCTCCCGATCCCCACTCAACACACATCTCACAGCCAACTCCGGTCACGCCCGTGCGCGAAAATTTGCTTAAGCAGCAGCTGCGCAGAAGTGCAGAGCTATCCGACATTGAAGAAGAGACTTCTTTTGAGATTGCAATTGAATCGGTTTATACTCCCAAGGGCGCCGAAGAAGATTCATCTGACCTTCCCGATGTCCCGTCGTCACCTTTCGAGTCTGACATTGAGTCGCCAATTTCGATGCCCAAGACACAAACACCGTCGTCACCTGTGCAATCAGACGCCGGCTCTTCACCTTTTCAGTCAGACGCCGACTCTTCACCTTTTCAGTCGGATGTCGACTCGTCCCCATTCCAGTCAGACGTGGGATCGCCAACCCCGGCACCTGTGCAAACCTACGAGGACGATCTCTCGTTTCTTGTTGATAATTCGCCACTCCCAGCCCGCAAGACTGTTCGTTGGGCGAAAAACTCACACGTAAAAGCATTCTATTTTGACGAAGGGGTCGAAGACATGCTAGATTCCACACTGGAATCTATTTATTCCAACGTCGATGAGTTGGAAATGTCAGAGGAGCTGACGTTAGAAACCCAACTGCTGAAAGAGAAGACGTTCGTTTGTCCCCTCGACACTAAGGAGATCGATTTCTTGGAGAAAATAGCCGAAGCCTCAGCATTTGGTCAAGATGGGGACTTTTCGATTGTGGATGACAAGCTCAAGGCCAGGGACTTTGCTACCTTGTTGCCAAGTATGTTCAATGGAGACCCAAAGGCCTGGTTGAACGACAATATTGTCAACGAATACCTTTCCATACTAGTCGATTACAAGAAGAGAGATGCTGGCTTCGAGGCCAAGCGGGGCGGCCCTGCCCCACCCGTACACGCTTTCTCGTCATTCTGGTACACCAACATGAAGAAAGGCACAGAGTCAGTTCGAAGATGGGCCTCGAGATTCCAACTGGCTGGAGTGCAGTACCTCGACGCTGAACTTATATTGTATCCAATCTGCGATGTCGGACATTGGCGGTTGATTGCTGTCAAACCCAAAGCACGTTCTATCGAATACCTCGATTCCCTCGGCTTTGATGGAAAGCCATACATTGCCAAAATGTTCGAATATCTAAAGATGGAACTGAAGGAAGCCTTCATCGCAGAGGAGTGGTCTGTGGTAGAAAAACAGCGCAGCTCTCGCCAAATGAACGGAAGCGATTGTGGTGTTTTCACCCTTTTGAATGCTCTGGCACTCTTGCGAGGCGAAGAGGCCGACAAGGTCATTGCTTGCGACGGTATGCTGGACGCACGCGAGCGTATCGCAACTACACTGATGGCCGGAGTTCCCACTACTGAGATGGAGTGAGCCATACACTTCCGGCCACGACTTCATGAATTTCCTCTCACCCCATTACACTACACGACTTTACGAATTTTCTTTTTCTGTTATTGTGTTTCATGCACCAAGCGACGGTTATTGAGCGAGGGTTTCAGCATTTTGGTTTTCGGAGTTTGTTTGTTTTGGTTTTTCGTGTTTTGTTTTGTTTTCCATGGGTGGCGTTTTTGTTTGCTTTCAAGATTGAGGTTTCTGCTTTGCGTTTGGATTTTCAGGACAGCAACATGGAGGCATAGTGACAGCAAGGTTGGATTTGCATTGCAAAGGTGTTCGGTCGCTCATGAGGTTTACGTTCTGGCCTTGATACCCCCTTTACCGCCCACAGAGGCTTACTTTTGATTGTACTTGTTTTTTGCTTTTCAGTAGCGGGAGTAGTAGCAGACTGGTGGACGGATGGTTCAATGATGATTATACATGAAATTTCTCGGGTTGTGTGTGTGAGATCGTAGTAACAAAGATAGTCAATGGCACCACATGAAACCGAAGAGTCAATGTACTATGTAGCACACATGCTAAAATGCTCGCTACATTATTGTGCGGATAAAACTGTTGATATTGCTACTAACCCTCTTGACAAGGATATTATACCAGCCTACTGTGCTACCTTGATGGTGAGCTTACCAAAGTGCTTTTGGTCCCACATGTACTGATATGCCTCCTTCAAATTCTTGAGATCAAACACTTTCTCATCAACAATGGGATGAATGTCATTAGCCTCGATAGCGGCGCACATGTCCTCCATCTGCAGCCTTGAGCCAACGAAGATACCACGCACAGTGCAAATGTTCGACAAAGTCTCGAGGAAAGTAGGCTGGTTTTTCTCCTCTCCGCCAATAAAGCCGATGATGTCGATGACACCATCGATCATAATGGCCTTGAGCGATTGAGCCATGGTCTTGGGGCCACCCACCTCAACGACGTGGTGGACACCGGCTTGACCGGGAGTCAGCTTCTTGGCCTCCTCACCCCAGTTGGGCGTCTCCTTGTAGTTGATGACGTAGTCGGCGCCGTATTTCTTGAGAAGGTCGGCCTTCTTCTGCGAACTGGTGGTTGCGATGACGACCGCACCGGCAGCCTTTGCGAATTGCAGAGCAAAGATGGAAACACCGCCGGTACCCTGTGTGAGGACCCACTGGCCGGGTTTCAAGGCGCGGGACTCGAGGCCGTAGAGAGCATTCCATGCAGTGAGGGCGGCGCAAGGAAGCGTGCTGCCTTCGTTGAAATCGAGATTCTTGGGCATGGCGACGAGCCCTGTCTCATCAAAGACTCCGTACTCGCGGAGTGTGCCGTCGAGGACACCACCCAGGCCTGTCTTTATGGTGGTGGAGTTGAGGGAGCCGGCCTGGTGGCCTTGGTTGAAGAGCGTGACTACCTTGTCGCCGGGCTGGAATCGTGTGACGCTCTTTCCGACAGCCTCGACAACACCAGCTCCATCGGATCCTGGGACGACAGTGCCACCGAGAGGGAAAGGATACTTGCCCTTGGGGATGACAAGGTCGCGGTAGTTGAGCGATGCGGAGTGGACTGTTTGGATTGTTAGTCGTATTGAAAGTTGAAGCAAGAATGGAATTGCTTACTCTTGACGAGGACATCCTTCTCACCAACTTCAGGAACAGGGGCTTTTTCATTGTATTTTAGCGAATCGAAGCCATTCTGGCCCTCGATAGTCCATGCCTTTTGTGTTGATGGTGCCATGGTGTAGATTGTGAAGGCAGATGTGACGAGTGAACTTCAGAGTGGATGTGAAGGGCTGTTGCAATTACTAGATCTGAATGAGTTGCAACATGCGGATTGAGTCGACTTATTATATTTCATTCTTCCATACTGTGGTAACTAAAGGCAGCGGCCGACATGACCAAGCAGTGCCTACATGCCGTATGCTCGCCGTGCACGGAAAATGTGGGGTCCTCGCAAGCCCGATCATGACGCAACAATGGCAGAGCTTAGCCTCTTCACGTCACAACCCCTAGTCCCTGTATGCTTTCACTTCGCTGGATGCTGGAGGAAAGGGCTGATTGAGGAAATAGAGAAGTAGGTGGTGAGGAGCCGATCATACTAGTGCATGCTCTAGTGCCGGCCGAAAAATGTGAAATCAGTTGTGATGGTGCTGGTGGTGGGATGGCCAAACTTGAGCAATACTAACACCACCTCTCATATTGGGATCCTTGAAATTCTTTTTTTTTCAGGATACTTTCATCCTATAGGCAATACTACGACACCCTAATGATCGAAGTTTATATGCGGCGGTAAGCAAGGTATTGTTGAGTGTTCGTGAGGATCGTTACTATCTCATCTTTCGGACAGTGGTAGACATGCATGGTACCGGTATTGCCGTCAAGATCGAAGAGCTTCGTTCTGAGTAGCCAGCGCGTTGCTACCAATTGTCACAGGAAATTGAACATGCAAGAATATTGTCGAAACTCTTGGCTATCAGTACTTTGCCATTTCAGCGTTGTCGCACAGGGCTTGCTTCTCCACAACAGTCTGAGCTTCCCTGGTCGTCTCGGGTAGTGTGAGAATCATGTGACTGGACCCACTGTGGCGAATCGAACCATCTTTAACCACATAATCGATCGATTTGGCAGCGGTATTCGAGCTCAAGATGCCTCGCAGTGCTGAGTATTCGCGCGAGACGCGCGCTGCCATTGTCACCCTTCGTTGTCAAGGCCTCGGATGGACTGCGATATCAGAACAGCTGCCTGTCTCGCCCAACGGGGCTTTTACGTTCATGAAAAGACTCCTTGACCAAGCTGGTATAGCCCATACAGTGGCTCCCCGTTCTCTGCCTCTCGCCCAGTTGCTTCAACTCCTGCCAAAGAAGACTCGCCGTGGTCGTCGTCGTCGTGAACGGTTTCCTGAGGGCTCTGACGTCGCAAACTCGTTGGTGGAGACAGCTGTGCATGAAGATGACCAGGAGACTCCTCATCGGCCTATAGTTGGGAGGGTCGCCCGATGAAAACTTTCGCTGATCCACTGCTATTACGAAATATTTCCTAGCATCTTGACCACCAACTTTCAGTTTTCTTCAACGTCCAAGATCGGCAACACCCTCGAATGAGGCCAGAGTCCTCGAGAAAGTTCCTGAAACCACGTCAACTACGATTCTCTCATTCGGCAAGACAATTCACCATGCCGAGTTCTTACAACGTCACCTCAAGCGCGACAGCGCAGAGTCTGGAAATACGAAGAGAACTGACAAAAGTTTAACATCAGGCGGGCTCGGGCTGAAGGACAGTCACAATAAATCGCCATGGAGGATGGCATTTGTAAACTTCAATGGACTCTTCACTCTGATAAGCACGGCACAATCATGGCACAAATCACGAGCTTGCGTGCTCATCCTACTAGCATGCGAATCTTTCCAAATGCGATGGCTAAATATAGGAATGTGCATCAGACAACTCACGCGCGCTCCAGAGTGTCCGAGTCTTGGCATCTTAGTACACGGCAAGGGGCAACAGGAAGCTCTTCGGTCTTTTACATCTGCGCTCGAGCGCTCTGTACTATCTACTGATGGTAAATGGGAGACAGCGTAGCTCCTATTGAGGTCTTCAACATCAGCGATATACTTAGCTGCAGTTCATGCATAGTGCATTATTAGCCTACAGAGGCTGAAAGCCTCGCTCGCACCGAACCTCAGCTGGACGTGGAGATCACAATAGAGTCATGTCACCGTAAAGAGAAGGGCCGCGTCCGGCTGACGGCTTGATCTCATATCAGATACCCTCTCGACTCGCGTAACCCTTGTTGTCGAGTGGACTCGAGCATTCACCGACTTGCGCCACAATACAACACGCTTATGGCGTGGTGTACCCTCTATGCCGGAGACGCGGTAACCTCGACTTCTTTCATGACGTGCGCGCCATGTCTCCAAGAAACCTCCGGTCGGCCTGTTCCTCGCGGGAATCTTCGCCTGGCACGAGCGTCGAGCCCTACGACCCTTTCCGTTCCAATTCAGATGCTATCGAGCTCGCACATATGACAAGAGTGTCGCTGGATGCCAGAGACTCGTACTGCTCTCCAACTCGCTCGCCAACTGGAATGTCACGAGAACGATTACACCCAGACTCTTACCTTGGTCTTGGGCACAATAGTGGGCAATATGTGCAAGTCACACCACACGACGGGAGTCCAAGGCAATTCGAAAACTCTGGCGGGGAATCGACCCACACAGTAAACTCGTTGTACCAGAGTAAGACGCTGGATGCGGACACACAAGCTTTGGTGGATCGAAGAGCGGGTGAGATTGCGCAATGGCATGTGCACTGGACTACACCAGCCATCATCGTATCTTTGTTCATTGCTGGAGTACTCGCAGCAATAGGTCATCATCTGTTTTATGCGCATCTCCATGGGTCACCAGCAACAGAGCAGCTGAAAATGGTCAGGTATGGCACGGCGCTGGCTTTTTTCGTCAGGAGCACGCTTGTCGGCACGGTCATCATTTGCAATCGCCAACGCATTTGGTACACGTTCAGGCGCAAAGCCATGACAATAAATGGCATCGACGGCCTATTTTCAGCGACTGAAGATCCGACTCAATTTTTCTTGAACTGGGAAATGATTAGGAATGGCAAACTTGCGACGCTCATGGCAGCATGCACATGGTGACTACGTTTCCCGTACTCGTGAAGCACTGTTGCTGATCCTGACAAGGTTGATACCCATTGCTTCGGTACTATCTCCCGCCTCACTCACGTCCGAAGCCAAAACCATGGTCAACAAGACCGTATGTCCAGGCGTCGCCAATATCAATTTCACGCGTGAAGCACTGTACAATTTTCGTGATGAGAATGAACTTGATGGTCGCGGCACGTCACTGGTGTATTACAACACAACAGATCGAGACGGAGTTCAGGACGGATACTTTGACTATTACGATCAGCCATCGAAGAATGCCCGCCGACTAGCTTTTAGCGCAGCATACTTGAAGAGGCCACAGCCACGCGAGAACGCTGGGCTTACCTATTGCGGAGAAGGATGGAACTGTACCTACTCAATCAACTTCATTGGTCCTGGGTACAAATGTGAGGACATATCAAACGCAGATATATCCGGCGCGCCGTTCAAGTTGAGCCAAATTGCGCCCGAGGGCAATTTCACTTACATCTCGGAAGTCGATCAAGATGACTACAAATGGCCGCAAATACCTACCTCAGATGGAATGCCGATTCAAGACCCACCCTACCCCGATTCGCTTGGTGTCTTCGAAAGCGAACCGACACTATGGATTGGCTATGCCAACAAGTCATCTGAGTTGTATGATGAGAATTCCCCGTATGCGAAGAAATGGAAGCACGTACACGAGCCAAAGATGTTCAAGTGTGAGATGTATCATACCAACTACACCTTTCAAATGGGATTTCGACCCACCCAGTCCGCTCTTCTCCAAAAACGAGACTTTCTGTATCCCGTCATCAACACGACGCTCGAAGCAAATCCTAGCAACACGACAGACTGGGCGGCAACGCAGAGCTCGAACTTCGTCCGACCCAAAGAGAACACCGAGCGCTACAAATTGACCGCGGCGTATCATTCTCTCGGCGCGCTTCTACGTACCTTTCTTCGCGGCAACATCGAGAAGAAGTCAGATGTGCTCATCATAACAAGATCGGACATATCTGAGACACGGCTGATCAATGCAAAGACATCGTATCCCGAGCCTGATTTGATGCCCAAAGTACAGAACTTCTTCGAGGACATGCTCCTCACCTTGCTTAGCGAGCCGACATTGGTGCTTGCAGAGTCTGGGACGGTCCCGTGCGAGAAGACTCGATTTGTTGTGGTGTACGTCTACTATCCACGAGCTCTTTGGATCGGTTACGCCATTGTCATTGCGATGACCGTTGCTTTTGTCCTCGTCGGTGCCTGGTCACTTTACCAAAACGGTGTGGCCTCGGATGTGTTATTTTCTCGCATTCTGGCGACTACGCGGAACCCAACATTAGACCACTTGAGTGTTGGTGCTTGTCTAGGTGGAGATCCGTTTCCCCCAGAGCTTATCAAAACCAAGTTGCGGTTTGGTGTTCTCCTTGAAGACGATCCTAAGGAAGGGCCGCTGGGTAAGGTGGAGCACTGTTGCTTCGGTACTGTAGGCGAGACAAAGGAAATAGTAAAGGGTGGCACCTATGCGGGCTTGAAGAAGTGGAGGATAGCGGAGGAGATGAAGTATGATGAGCCAGACGAAGAGGTGCCACTACTTGAGAAGGATAATTGATGTCCATGCATAAAATATTATTCTCGTATACCACCACTCTACGCTCCATGATTTGCATGGCAACGGAATACTAGACGGCCTAAGATCTCGTTGTTTACGCACAGAAATTTGTTTTGCTTACCCCATGAGTCTTGTTGCAAGTAAGAAGCCAGACGCCGGGCAAGACTTGTTTCACAGAGAGTAAGGGAAGGGCTAGGCGTGCAGCCAATGGGCTCGCAGCCGTTGAACCCCGCTAACGTTAATCAACCCCACGCGACGACGAGACCAAAAGTTGCCATTCACGCCGCGCTCATGGGCCAACCTCAACGTCGCAGCAATGTCTCTCTCTAATAGCATGGCGCAACTGCCAATTGGTCGGTACTGCAACACCTACCGGGGAGGTATGAAGCTGACTCGTGTGCAGAGCTGCTCCAAACATGGCATGCACATCGCTTTTCACTGCTTTTCACTGCTGTAGTCGTGGCCGCTGTCCTTCGTCTCTGCGTCTGCACGCGTGGTCGTCGCGACAAGGTTTCCGTGTCGCCCACACCATCATCGCCTGTCGAGAAGAAGGTCGTCGAGCTGAGGCCTGAGTGGTTACCCGAAAACACTACTACCGTCAATCCTCCAGAACTGAATATCGATGGCCATGCAGAGGACAGCACAAAGACTGCTGCCAGTCTAGTCAAGCCAAAGAAGGGCCCCAAGACAGTCAAGGGAAACAAAGTTCCGAGGAAGAAGAAGACGGTTCCTGCACCATCGTTCGATCACAAAGCAGACAAGATACAACCATTAGTCTTCTTTCAGTCACTGTCTGGGACCACGGAGCGCTATGCTGCGCAATTCGCGAACACCCTCACCGAATGGACCGCTGGCTGCGATCAGTCCTCGTCGTTTCTTGCGCCCGAGACCCACGATATCTCGTACATCGAACATGACGACTACTTCATTACGCCGCCAAAAGCAGACGCGAACGTCAAGTTCTTCTACATCATTCTCGTACCGACATATAACATCGACACTGTTCTAGACATATTCATTGAGAGTCTTCAAGAAACACATAATGATTTTAGAATTGATACGGCGCCCTTGAGCGGACTGCTTGGATACTCTGTATTCGGCTTCGGAGACCGAGAGGGATGGCCAACCGAGGAGGAGGGCTTCTGCAGTCAAGCAAGGGAAATTGACAAGTGGATGGCAAGGCTAACGGGCAGAAAGAGGGCCTACCCATTAGGCATGGCAGATGCTAAGAAGGAAGCCGAAGACCGCATGCAAGAGTGGCGGGTAGGTGTCCAAGAAGCTCTCGTTGAACTTGCAGAGGGTCGAGGCTTGGGCGAAGGTGTTCCTGGCAGCGGGGATCCGGCGGAGAGCGACGAAGAAGACACAGACGATGCAGAAGACATCGCCGCCCAATCGACCCGCGTCGACGATGTAGAGGATCTCGGCGGCATGGTCACCACCAATTCCTCCACGACGGCCATCCCAATCGACTTCACAACCTACAAATCCGCCTCCAAATCCAAATCGGCGCCTACATCTGCCCCCAAAGAAATGGTTCCCACAACCTCCCCTACACACGCCGCCCTCACGAAACAAGGCTACTCAATCATTGGCTCCCACTCTGGCGTCAAAATCTGCCGCTGGACAAAATCCGCCCTTCGCGGCCGAGGCTCCTGCTACAAGTACTCCTTTTACGGCATCGCATCCCATCTTTGCATGGAAGCCACACCATCCTTATCCTGCTCCAACAAATGCGTCTTTTGCTGGCGCCACGGAACCAATCCTGTAGGCACGACATGGCGCTGGATCACAGATGCGCCCGAGATGATCTTCGACGGCATCACAGCCGCCCACTACAAGAAGATTAAAATGATGAAAGGCGTGCCCGGCGTACGAGCCGAGAGATTCGCAGAAGCCATGCGTATCCGCCACTGCGCCCTCAGTCTCGTCGGCGAACCCATTTTCTACCCGCACATCAACGAACTGCTCACCATCATGCACAAACACCGCATCTCCACCTTCCTCGTCTGCAACGCCCAGCACCCCGCCCAGCTCGCCGCCCTCATCCCCGTCACCCAACTCTACGTCTCCATCGACGCCTCCAACAAGGACTCGCTGCGGAAAATCGACAGGCCCCTCCACCGCGACTTTTGGGAGCGCTTCTGCGCCTGCCTCGACATCCTGCGCAACCGCCGCTTCGAGCAGCGCACCGTCTTCCGCCTCACGCTCGTCAAGGGCTTCAACATGGCCGAGGAGGTAAAAGGCTACGCCGACCTCGTCCAGCGCGCCCTCCCGGGCTTCGTCGAAGTCAAAGGCGTCACCTACTGCGGTACCTCGGCCGCCGGCTCCGCAGGCCTCACCATGCAAAATGTCCCCTTTTACGAAGAAGTCGCCGCCTTTGTCACCCAGCTCGAAGCCGAACTCCGCGCCCGTGGCCTCGCCTACGGCATCGCGGCCGAACACGCACATTCCTGCTGTATCCTGCTGGCCGACGAGTCGCGCTTCTCGCGCCAGGGACGCTGGGCCACGCGCATTGATTTCGAAAGGTTCTTTGAGCTGTGTGAGGGGGTTGTGCAGGGGACGAGGAGGGAGGGTGGTCAGGTGGTTGGCTGGAGGCCGGAGGATTATCTGGGTGAGGATACGCCTGAGTGGGCGCTTTGGGGGAATAAGGGGTTTGATCCGAGGGATCAGAGGGTGTATCGGAAGGGCAAGGGACCGAGGGTTGAGGAGGGGGGTGGTGGCGGGAAGGAGGAGGTGAAGAGTGTGGCGAAGGCGTTGGAGTTTTGAGGGAGGGGGGATTGAGAATGTGGAAAGTGTAATGGAATATCCATTGGAAACACTGATGATTACAAGATCCATGCAAAAATAGATATCACGCATGAAAAAACTTCGTATGTTGCAACTGGGTATCATATTGAATATCCTTGGCAAGCTTTCTCCTCGACATCAAGCACAAGCTACATCTATATAGCAGCCCACTCAATCGAAAAAGCCCTAACCGGCTGCTTAATCTTCACATCCTTGACATCCGTTCTGAACAAATCCACACCCTCTGCAATTCCCTCTGGATCCTCACCGCCAATCATATACGCCTTCTTGGTACCCGTGCCCAATCGGCCTCCACCCACCACATCCAGTAGATCAAACTCCTCGTCCCAGGCTAGGCCTGTAGCCGCAAAATGGCTGTGGTAGCGGAGTGGGTCGCCCGGGTAGACGTTGTAGTGGCAGCCGAAGCGTATACCGGGCATGTGAAAGTATCCTCTGGAGTGAAGGTAGCGGAAGAGTGGGTAGCTGTTTGGTACGGCTGGGAGAGGGCGAGAAGGGTCTTGAGCAGGGGTAGGGAGAGGAGGGTATGAAGTCGTGGGTGTGACAAAGTGCTTTTGGACTGTGACGGGCTTCTGGGCGTTGCTGATAGTGGAAGGCGCAGGTGAGGCAGGCACAGGCTCGAACAGAGATGTGTCTGCGGCTTCTGGTGGAGCTGAAGACTGCTTTGATTCTGCACTGGAGTCGGAGAAGGAGGATCCCTTCATGATGAATCCGAGATCTGAACTCGTGCCGCCAGGAGTGTCCACGTGCACAGTCTCATCCGTCGCGATACTCGCAGCCGCAATGCTCTCCTTCTCAAATACCTCCTTTCTCAAGCCCTTCTCCTTGAGCGCTTTATCCTTTCTCTGCTCCGCTTTATCCAGGTGCTGTCTTGCAACATTCTCACCCGCTCGATCCATCTCCTGCAGATATTTCAATCTGTCCATTCTGCTCATCTCCATGAAGCCCTGTCGATGTATTTCTACATCGTCAACAACATAGGCAGCACCGCGTTCGACAAGGACTCGAGCCTCTTCAGGCATGAGCTCGAGCGGTATGCCCAGGAAGACATTCTGCTGCGACAAATTCGGAATTGTACCAATCAGCAAGCCACAGATGTTGTGCGCACGGCGACAATGAGAGATGGCGTCGACATCGAAAAGCAGGTACCGGCCCGCAATACAGGGAATCGGAAATGGTTCAGTGACTGGGTTTGGTGCCGGGGCTGGCGCCATATTCAGATCTATGAAACGAGATGTTAGCCTTGTGTCTTTGAAGCTATCCTCATGAAAGATGTGCAATGTAACTTGTAATCAGGGTGTGAATACATAAGAGTCATCATGCTCAATACTTTTGTAAAGAGTCAGGGGATTGACAGATTATGAGTTTTGTCATCATTGGAAAAAGTCCATATACGCGCAGTGCATACGCAGTGCATACGCAGTGCAATGCGACAACAGGCAAAACAAAAAAAACTCCAGGCGAGCTTACCTTCACTTGTGTGGTTTCATGATTGAAGAAACCATGAATAAGAAAATCGACAAGCTCCAAGCTGCGCGGAATTTTTATTTGGGTAGTGCCGCTTAGTCAACTCCTGGACCCACCTTGCGCCCGGACATCCCTCCCCCGCAACTACGCGCCACAGACGCAACCAAACACCAACAAACAATGCCGTGAGAAACAAAACACCCCAAAATCCTGCATTCTACAAAACTCAAACATGGCGGCGAACCGCGCATCAATAGCCAATGGTGCAAATTCTGCGCCCGAACGCTCGTACTACGAACAGCAGCGTGAATTGCTGGTTACAGAAATTGCCCAGGTATGTCTTGCGAAGTTGCATTGCAGGCCAGGACATGCGAAGGAACTATCTTTTCCCATGAGACAACGTTGAATGCCACACATTCTCCTCTCAGACAAAAACACACACACACACACACACACACACACACACACTGGTTTGCTCTAACACGGCGTCGCGCAGAGTCTTGAGATTGTTCTTCAGAATATCAACAAGCTGAACCGCTCCCTCGAGGAAGTCACACAAGTCGGTAGCGAATTTGCACCGGTCGAGTCGCTCTGGAGCCTGTTTGAAAATGTCATGGCCAAGGATGCGAATGAGCAGCAGCAGCAGGAAGGCATGCAGCAAGAGGGCGTCACGGAGCATGATGAGGGGGAGACGGAGGGTCACTGAGGTGCGGAAGCAAGGCAACAACTTCACTGAGGAAATGGCGGTCATGATGATACCCAAAGAGGGAATGCAAGAGTAGTGTTTGACATCATGTCACTAGTGATGGAATAGGGGACGCCCATTCACGATTTACAGAAATATGCTTCATTTACTGCCCACAGCCAATTTGCGGCTTCTTCGCCGTACACACACGCTAGATACCCGATACAGATACAGGAAGAAAGACAAGTTATTGGTAGGCGACTCGAACTCTGCGCTCGATTACCCATGGCCAATGGCCGATTCCATGGGAACACCCAAGAACGCCGGCTATAGAAGTGTTACGTACAGAAAGTGCTCGCTTTATGATGCGAAGTCGCGGAGAGCTGAAATAGTAGAGAGCCAGGGCATGTCCCAGCCAAGTTGCCCTGATGCGGAAAGAAACGAAGATTTCGGAAGGGAGGGGCATCGATAGCGGTGTGCGGGGATGGGCTGTTGATGTAGATGGTCATTAGGCATCTTGATCGTGTCGTCCAGCGTCGTAAATCTCGATATCTTTTCCGTCGTGGAACGGTCAGAGCAGAGGGGCCAGGATGCTCATAGCACTTTGCAGCCACTGCGCTTCTTCTTCTTGCCACCGGGCACAAAGGCCGGCGTTGTGCCCCCTCTTGACATTGGAATTTGCTTCGTCTCTTCTGTGCTCTTGTATTCGTCCCCCACGGCCATTGTGACGGCCATGTCGAAGATTTCCTCGACACCGTCTTGCTCTTTACTACTGCACTCCATGTACATGGCGCCCATCTTCTTTGCGACGACACGACCTTGGTCGGGGGTGACGGGAGTCAGCCCTTGTGTTTTGAGTAGCTCGATGCAGTTCTTCTTGTTGCGAAGATCCGACTTGAGACCAAGCAGCATGAGTGGCGTTGTTGGGCAGAAGTGGAGAACCTCTGGGTACCACTACGAGATGTGTTAGTTGCTGATGGGCGGGAAAAGGAAAATCGGACCGAAGTGACGTACCTTATCCATGACGTTTTCCAGCGAGTTGGGGCAGTCGATAGCGAAGCAGACGAAAATGATGTCTGTCTCGGGGTAGGAGAGCGGTCGCAGTCTGTCGTACTCCTCCTGTCCGGCGGTATCCCAAAGCGCCAGCTCTACCATCTTGCCGGTTGGCGGGTGGGGCGTGTGGGTGATGTAGTTTTCGAATACTGTTGGTACATATTTCTGCAAGCGTGCATTAGTAGGTGGCGAAGTAGTGGTGAGGCAGTGGCGAGCATTGGAAGTGGCGGTGTCTTCAACGTACCTCTGGGAAGTTGCCCGAGCTGTAGCTGATCAGCAGACAGGTCTTGCCGCATCCGCCATCACCCACGACGACGAGTTTTTTCGAGTAGGTGGGAGGCTCTGTGATGGTCGTGTCTCGCGTGTGGGTGGTGCCGTATGAGCTCACTGTGCCATTGCTGTTGCGCTCGCTGGGCGTCCGCACGGGCTTGCGGACGGGTGTGATGGTTGGGTTGGGGGCCTTTGTGCTCTGCTTGCGGCGCAGGTAGTCGTAGTTTTGCGAGGGTGCAGTCTGCGAGGCCATGCTGGGGCGGTGTATATATGTGTGGTCGTGAGTGGGTGTGGCTATGAGGGTCGCAGTGTGGTGTTGGTGTTGGTGTGGTGTGTGGTGTGTATGAGCCGCAAGACTATTCGAGTGCTGACTGACTGCTACCGACTACTCGTGGATGAGGTATCAATATAGACGGCGGGATGGAAGTGGTGGGAGTGAATTGGGGCAATGGAGCGCTTTTGGGGGATTGTGTCTTATGAGGCCGGCCTGTTGATTGTTGGCGCTGGCAGTCCATGGTTGTCAGGCGCAACGCCCTTACCCCGGCTGCATTAGCTCTCTGTGGAGACCAACCACCACTAACCACTGACGACCACCCACGGACTTGCCGGGGAGAAGGTCGATTCTCGATGCGCACACGTCTCACAGTTCTGGCCGACCCGCGATCGTCCACCGCTCGGCCTCGTCTTACATACACATACACATACACATACACATACACATACACACAACCACCACACAGCCAGACACCACACCACGCACCCCCGTCGCCTCATCCTCCCCTCCCAACTGCGCACTCTTTTGACTCGCTCTGTCTGTCAACCTGGACATGCCCGACCGCCTGCTCCACCACCACCACCACCACCACCACCACCACCACCTCTTCCTCCCCCTCCTGCGACCGCTGCTACCATGAGTTCGCAACATGATGTGGCGCCCACCTCCACCGCCATGTCGAAGATAGCGCCAGGGCAGTTGCTGCCTCGCAAGGATCCCAAGCTCGATGCGGGCAACAAGCACCATGACCACTGTGCGTGCCCAAATCCCGCCCAGATTCTGCCCTGCAAAATGCAGTTCAAACAAGCAACGGCAGGCTAATGCGCATTCTGCCCTTGAGTAGACGCTCGCAGACTCCCCAAATGGCGCAATGCCCTGCGCAACCGATTGATCCCCATTGTGCGCTGGGAGACGCCCTGGCTCGCGCTCATGCAGGACAAGATCCGCTCGCCCGCCCTCGATTCGTACTTTGCCTACACGGCTAACCTGGGCACCCACACCTTCTTCATGATCTTCCTGCCCATTCAGTTCTGGTGTGGCTATACCAGTGTCGGACGAGCGTATGTCTGCTTCCTGGCATGGCGAACCCCTCACAATCAGACGGGCTAACAGGCATAGCACCGTCTTCATGCTCGCCGCAGGAGTCTACGGCACTGGCTTCCTCAAGGATATGGTCTGCTTACCAAGGCCCCTTTCCCCTCCACTAGCCCGCATTTCCATGTCTGGATCGGCTGCGCTCGAATACGGCTTCCCCTCATCCCACTCGGCCAATGCCGTCAGCGTCGCCTTCTACGCCATCTACACGCTTCGACAGTCGGCCACGGAGGATGGCTCCTATACCAACACAATATTGCAAGCCCTATTCTACTTCTACGCCATGTCCATCATCGTCGGCCGGCTATATTGTGGCATGCATGGCTTTCTAGATGTCCTTGTTGGCAGCGTCATGGGCGCAATGATCACGGGCATCCAACTACTCTTTGGCGACTGGATGGACTCTTGGGTTTTTAGTGGAACCTTCCAAGACATACTAATTGTAACCTTGGTAGTCTGCGTGCTCGTGCGAATCCACCCCGAGCCTGCGGATGACTGCCCCTGTTTCGACGATAGTGTCTCTTTTTCCGGCGTGGTAATTGGTATCAACCTGGGAGCATGGCAGTACGCGCAGACGAGCTACGCGTTGAAGGATGCCTATCCTTCATCTGTTCCGTTCAGTCTGCAAGAGATGGGCATTCTGAAAACCATGCTTCGAATTGTGCTCGGCGTCACCATCATTTTCCTCTGGAGAGCCACTATGAAACCTGCTCTGTTCAAAATCCTCCCACCCATCTTCCGCTTGCTCGAGCAGGCCCGTCTCAACCTACCACGTGCTTTCTTCCTAAACGCCTCCAAGTACAAGTCCATCCAACCCTTCAACGATGACGACAACGTCATTCCTCCTGCATCTGACCTTCCACACATGCTCAAGAATCTCGCCCATCCCCGCAAACGATCCGTCTCCGTAGGCCCCCAATCCGCCGCCGATGCCTACGAAACACTAGCCTACCGCAAACGCAAGAGAAGAGAGAGCGTCAATTCCATGGACGGTGCTGTACCAGAAGATGCCGCCTGGGCACCGTCAACGCCCTCTATCGAAAAGGGCGAGCCAGTATTGGGCGCCGGCCTGTTACCCACACCCATGGCTTCTCGTGTGCAGTCCTATGAGAAGATGATGGGTACTGGAAATGTCCAGTCAGTCCATGTCAGCTCGGCAACACCGCCGAGGAGCGAGTCAGGCGTTGCAGGCGACGTCTACCAACCCTCGTCTACAGAAGAAGAGAATTCGCCGACTGAAGAAGAGAATGAGAAACGCGAGATATTCAATATGCTCACGAAGCCACGAGTACGATACGATGTGGAGGTTGTGACCAAGTTGCTGATATATACTGGTATGCTGATTTACGCTTCACAAGCACGGATGCTAGAATGCTAACAAAGGCCCAGGCATTGCATGGTTGGCAGTCGCTGGGAACCCCATACTATTCGAGTGGGTTGGGCTCGGTATGTCCAAACAAGTCTAAGCTTTTCTTGTTTCCACATAATACTAGAGTGGGATCTTCGGTGTACATACCCCCCCTTTTTTTACTACATGTTCAAAATACTATCACCCATCTAATCCAATCCACTTCCTCTGTCTTGCAAAAACACACATACATCAAACACACAATGCACCACACCCGGCGCATACATCTTGATCCGCTCCACATGCCTCACCTCAACCCTCCTCCCCCTCCCCCCACACCCCCGTCCCTCCTCCGCAACCAACCTCGCAAACTCCCTCTCCACCTCGCCCCTCCTCGCCCCCACATCCCCAACCCCAACATTCTCATGCACATGAATCCAGCCCTCTGCACACTCCGGCTCCAAAACTCTGACCGCCTGTGTCCACGCCGCCTTTGAATCCGGCAGCAGCCCTAGATTGACGTGCACGATGGCACCTGGTAAGCGGCGCTGCCGTCTTAGCTGTGCGACGGTGGTTGCAGCGTTTTCGTTGCTCATGTGGAAGATGGTGAAGTCGTGGTGGATGGTTGGGATGTCTTGGTCTTGATCTTGACCTTGATCTTGAACTTGGCTTTGTTCTGCGAGAAAGGAAGCGAGACTGGCGGGCGTGATGATGCGCGTAGACCAGTTGTTTAGGGCTGCGCCGCGGCGCAGGGCTTCGATGGACCAGGGGTTGAGTTCCCAGGCGAGGACTTTGGTTGGCGGGTGCGTGGCGCGTTTACGGTAGGAGAAGGCGAAGTAGCCGATGCCGGCGAAGAGGTCGGCTGCTATTGTTGGTGGTGGTGGCGGGGAGGCTGTATGACTGTCGCGGTCACCATGGTGGTTGTTGGTGGTGATGCTAGTGGTATCAGGGCCAGGGAAATGCAAGATCCGCGCTTTCTCTTTGACGTTGCCACGGCTGAACATGGTGTATAGCGGTGCCCAGGTCTGGTGGATACCGTTTTGCGTGGTGCGGACCCAGAAGGCAGAGGCGTAGTCTTCGCGGGTAGGGGAGGTGAGGGATTGGGGTGTTGGCGGGGGCCCAAAGGATCCAAAGATTGGGGTGATGTTCAAGGGGCTGCGGAGGATGTTGGGATGGGTTTTGTTGTTGTCATTGTTGTTGGGTTGGTCGGTGGTTGTGGTTGAGGGGGTTTGGGCGGGGATGGGCGAGTTAAGCGCCATATGGGTTGTGTGCGTGGCGCGGGTGATGTGGTTCCAGAGCGGTTTGAGAGCGTCCGAGTCTAGCGGATGGGCTGAGAGGAGGGTTTGCCATGGGGCAGAAGCGAAGGCGTTGTGGGAGAGGAGGAGCATTGGTGTGTAGATGGAGTAGGAGTCCGGAAAGTTGGACATTAGGGATTTGGCGGTGAGATCGAGGGGTGCGAGGAGGGAGTCGTGGTTTTCTTCGAGGGCAGCTTGGAGGGCGTTTTGCAGAGGGTTCTTATTTGTGGGTCTCGGCATGATGTTGTCGTGGAGAGTCGAGCTTGATAGGGACATGACTGGTGATAATTCGCATAGTCCGAGGCGATTGAGAACCGTAGCTTTCAAGCCCGACCCATGTTCGTCGTCTTTGTTGAATTCGTAGGGAATTGTTGTGGGTATACGCATTCGCTGTTGCTGTACGCTGTTCCCTCGATTTGACCCACGATGTTTGCATGGAGGTCTGTACTCCCCACTGGTTGGGACAAATTGCAATCGAGGCTCTTCTGAGCGGTCTTCATATTGACCATTCCTGACATCAAACTCAAGAGCTGGATATTGCTGGATCTCGGCTGGATCCCGATATTCTCCAGCAACGAGGTCAAAATCAAGTCTGGGGAATTGATTCGACTCCGCGGGCTTGCGGTATTGCCCACTCTCTGGACAGAACCGTAGACTAGGGAACTGAGGTTGATCTGCTGGCTTCCTGTATTGGCCAGTGACTACATCGAAATGCAGGCTGCTTGCAAGAGATTGCCATTCGGCAGGGTCTCTGTATTCTCCACTGATGGGATCGAATTGCAGAGCCGGAAACTGCGTAGTGCCAGTTGGCCCAGAAGGTGCTGTAGGCGACGAATCTGACCCACCTGCCGGCCCATATGACGAAAGTGAAGCCAATGCATTCATCTTGCTTGAAGCTGGTCTCGCAGCTTCGATGTGTTCAATCTCTTGTGTCTCAGCTGTGATCTTGCTTGAACGGTCGAGATGTCCACTTTGTTCCAGAGCTGTCTTGACCGTCTTCACGTGCTGTACCGGAACCACAAGCACAACTAATTCTTGAGGATCGCCATTCGATTTTCCTTCGGTCATGGTGGCTTGTGAAAAAAAAGCGAGGGGATTTTGGAGGATGCACAGGTTATAACAGGAGGGAGGGGAGTAGTAGGAGCATGGCGGACCCTGGGTACAATCACTAGATTTGGGCAGCTAGGTACCGGTACAAGATCAACACATTAACGCGTGTTAGCTTCGCCTTATACGAGACTGGGTCGACACGAAAGCGTATTTGGTTCTGCAGAACGTTCAAGCTACATTCCGCATGGGGAAACATTGAAAGAGCTTCTTGCTGCCAGTTGCTCTTGTCCCCAGCCCAGTGTCCCAGCCCCGCCCCCACTTGATTCTTCCATATGACGCAGCAACTTCCCGAAGCACACGGGACGGTCACAACCTCACACCCTCTGCAGACCAAAGAAAATCCACCAGCAATAGAATCGCAGTCGCACGTCTCCCAAAAATGTCCCTTTGCAATCTCGACCTTGTGAACCAAGCCGATGGCTTTCCTTACCCCGAAACGAATACAGATCGTTACCTCGCGAGCATAAACACATACTACCAGCTTCGTGTCGCAGGCTACAACTATGCGTTGGGCTACATGCTGCCCTCCGTCGCCGAGGTCTTCCGTGGCATACCAAACTGGGAGATTGACGACGACGCACGCATCCTGAGCCTAACGGGGGGCACAAACGCCGAAGAGCGGTCAAAAGCAGTACAAGTCACGCTATTGGCATTGAGAGAAACTGGGCACTTCAGGGTCCTGGAGAAATGGCGGGGGGAGCTGTATGCGGTGTATGGGCTGGGCAAGGAGCTGCTGTTCAATGTGGAGAGGAGCGCGAGTCCGTTGTTCGGCGTCGTCTCGTACGGTGTGCATCTCACGGCGTACACGAAGAAGGATGGGCAGTTGATGATATGGACGCCGAGACGCGCACGCACAAAGCAGACATATGGTGGCATGCTGGATAATGCTGTTGCGGGTGGTATTGCGTCTGGAGAGGTACCTTTTGAAAGTCTGGTACGCGAGTGTGCAGAGGAGGCCTCGTTGCCCGAAGCCCTGGTGAGGAAGAACGCAAAGGCTTGCGGGACAGTCACCTACTGGTATATTAGGGATGAGAGGGCAGGCGGCGAGACAAACCTGATGCAGCCCGAGTGCCAGTATGTCTACGACCTCGAGCTACCAGAGGATGTGATTCCCACACCGGGCGATGATGAGGTCGAAGAGTTCTACCTGTGGACTGTGGAAGAGGTGCAAGAAGCCATGAAGAGGGGCGAGTTCAAGCCCAACTGCGCTTTAGTCGTGTTAGACTTCTTTGTCCGGCACGGTATCCTGACTAGCGAGAATGAGAGGGACTACATTGAGATTGTGAGCAGGTTACACAGAAGGCTTGAATTTCCCACGCTATGATGTGGGAGGATCAGAGAAGATCTAAAGACTCCTTTTGGGGTATCCGTACGCCGTGCCAAACAGACTAGACCAGATGATACCAAATGCCACCACTTATGCCACCCAAACGCCTTCGATGCTTTCATTTTGGTCGTTCTTTTGTCTTCACACAGAGCACTATGACTGCTTCACGAGCATGTAGATGTTGTCGATCTTTAGGGCATTCAACTTCTTATGCGGTCCCTCCATGAATAGCAATAGCCCTCCAAAACTTGCATAGTATTTCCTGGATCCGGTCAGTCTAACTCCTCCTCCACTCGGTAGCTCTGCACTCACATTGTATCACCTTCTCCGTCCTCCATTCGGTAGTGTTTTCCATAGCATACATAATCGTACATGTCTGCCAGTGTAGTGACTCCTTGTCTCCCTACGTTTCTCCACATAGTCTCGTTCTGGTCCTTTGTTGCGCCGTCAAGTGATAGTGTTGTGGCCAGCACCATGTTCAGTGTGTCACCGACCCGTACGGGGAATAGTTCGTGGTTGATGTCAAGAGTCATGGTAATCTGGTTGTCCGTGGAATTTCCATAGATGCGCGACACTCGGTCATACTTTTCATTGTTGATCGAGGTAATGCTGAAGGTCTCTTCGAAGACCTGTGCGTCCGCCATGGTAAGTGGTAGGCAGAGATTTTCGACTATTCAAACGTAGCAATAGGTAATTGGTGGTAGGCTTGGGAGCGTTTTTGGCTGTTCGTAAGGCGATTTAGAAGTTGGAGAATACTGATACAACAGGGCGTAGTGAATGTAGAAAGAAAGAGTGAGAAGCTCGGATCAAGAAAGCGCCGGATATCTTGGCGCGGACCCCCGACGCTCCTCCGCCGCGAAGCCACCCACCTTCCCCCACACGCGTCTTAAACACATCTGGCCACAGTCACGCAGCACTTACTACCATTTTCCCAAAGCTCATGCTTTACCAGTTTCTTTGCTATATTGCTGCTTTTCTTGCTGAACACAGCTGTTAGGGCTGTTAGGGCGCTTTCGCCGCCCAGCCCTTACCTGCTGTAGTGCGGGTCTTGAGGTCAACGCCATATTAACTACACCGTCCGCCAGATGTCACTATTCCCACTGCCACAAATGACGCCTCTTTCGCCATCAATGCAGGATTCGAGCGATAGCGGTGAATGCAGTCCCATGGCTCTTGATCGCCTCCAAATCCTCAAGCTGAAGGCTGCCGCAAACCAACATAACCCACTACTCAATCTCCCAGATGACATCTTCAAATGCATCATCGACTACTTAGATCGAGATGCAGCATGGAGTCTGAAACGATTATGCAAGGGTATGGCAAGCAGCGTAACTGTGAATCAGCTGCTGTACAGATCCCCAATGCGGTTGAGCGACGTGCGTGACATCAGGCTGGGAGACTGGAAGTACAAAGTCAACGGCTCGATGCGATGGGAGAAGCTGCAATCAAGCATCAACAATGTAACCCGAAACTATGTACACAAACTCGCCATGTCTCACTGGGCTAGTATAGACGACTTTCGGTGGATCGAGGCGAACCTCCCAGCACTGGCAAGTCTGAACATCTCGGCTATCAAAGACTTTGTATGGACCCCAGAAGAGACATGGTCGTGGAAGATGTTGGCAGAAGCGTGTCCGGACCTATTTGGTCGACTGGAGGAGTTGCAGGTTGCAAATTGGGCCGACTACACCACCCACGCGAGGATTGAGTACAGTTATTCATACAACGACTATCGGTTCAAGCAGAAGTTCAGGATATCACGGCGAAGGGATGGAGGGTCGGTTGCCAGCATGATATTTCCGTTGTGCAAACAGCTGAAGACGCTTGCTATCCGTGACTGTTACTCTGGCTTTCAGTGAGTTCCATCAGTCGAACATCTTCCTTGCTCCTACTTACTAACATCGAGACGTAGCACCTGGAACGAATGGGAAGTCCACCAACGCGTATGTTCGCTAGTTGATGGTATACAACAGCACTGCCCTCCAAGCTTAACAAAGCTAAAAATTCACGACTATGCGCCCTACCGATCGCTCTTCTCGACCGATGCTACGACATGGTCACGCTTGAAGGATGTAGAGATCAATCTATACGGCTGGATGGAGGATCGACGAGACCGCGACGTGATCGGGCCAATACCCTATAGAATTACCCAGGGCCACCATCATCGTGAGGAAGAAGAGGAATTCAACGACGAGTCCTTCTCTACATGCGAACGCGACCACATGGCACTAGGCAACCACGTTGTCCAAGACGTTGGGGCTTCGTTCGAGGACCTCCTGCAGAGCCTACAGACCATCTCTAAGAAGTACCCGAACATCAGAATCAGGCCAAGCCGTGACCTCGATAGCATCACCCTCCATCCGTTTCATCTAGTCAATGTAATGCAGCGACGATATCCGTTTGGCCACGCTGTCCCACCAAGTCAAGACACAGTGGTAGATCCGAGCTCCAAGCCGGAGGTACAAGAAGCATTACGCTGGCTTGCGCAGAAGTGCAACTGGAAGCCAATTCTGGCGTGGGATTCGATGATGTGCGACGTTTTTCCCGCCAACCTTGAGCCTAACAGGACATTCTTACCCAAACCCGACGTCCTCTCCCGCATCAAGACTATGGTGTCTACACTTCGGGGGCTGAAGATACCCATCCGCATCTCCATCGGCGACCGCAGTAACACATGCCCGTCTTTTGGGCTGGATGGCTCGCTCTACTTTGGGGACTTCAAGACGTTTGTTGGTGAAGGCGAAGCCGCACGCGAGGTGCTCCTGCCTACACAAGCATCTTACAATTTGATGCCCATTGCTTCAATGGTCGACGAGCTCACGATACAATACCCTGTGGACGTCCCGGGAGTGGCAGGCTGGCGGGCAGCCAAACGAACAACGCACGCAGAGACGGCGCTCATGAAGCGCGAGATGATTGGCTGGCGACGATTTTGGTTCCGCTACGCGTCCCAGTTCAAGAACTTGAAGAAGCTGACGGCGAATGTACCTGATGAGATTTACGAGGATTGGGGAAAGAGCCAACTGGCCCGCCTGCTGGCGGACGAGAGATGGCAGATGCTAGAGGTTGAAGAGCAGGATGCTGATTATGGATTCTTCAACAGCTACTTCCCATTTAGCTCGACCTCGCTCACACGCATGTCACGCAAATGCAGCCGCATAAGCACACCCAACCACAAGAAATTTGTGCAGCGGGTATTCTTTCGCCTCGATGACAAGCCATTGGATCTGACGGCTCGAGACACGGGGCTGAGCGATCAAGAGGCTGACGAGAAGGAGATTACAGATGAGCAGATTGAAGATGTGGTGATGCCGTGCCATCGGTTCTGGGCAAGGGATGTGACGAAAGAGGAGAAGGGAGAGAAGAGGAAGAGGTCAGAGAAGAGGGCGAGGTCGTGCAAAAAGGCGGCGAAGAAGCAAAAAGTTGAGGCGGAAAGCGTTGAAGGGCTCACGCAACAGGCGGTGCTGGATCATGTCGACAGGACCTTTGCTAGGGTATGGGAGTTTTAGGTTGAGATGAGATGAAGAGGCGTTCACTATGGACTGTACTTGAAGGGCTGCATGGCCAGCTCGAGGAGTACAGGAGGGCATCAAGTCACGGTGTTTGTCAGGGCGTTTGGGCATCGTTGTACTTTACGTCGGTCATGCATGTAAAGGACTCGACTACATGGGCCACATAGGGCCAAGCACATGGGGGGCATCAGGCTTGCACCATGTCATGAAGCATAACAAGGGATGAAGGATGATGATGGTGATGATGACGATGAGATTTCACGATGATTGATTTGCTCTCTGCAGCAGACTATGCAGATGTACTGCAATGAGGAATCGACTGGCTACGTACACAGTAAGCAGGTAGATATCCATACACAGATGGCGTTGGACATGCAGGCACCGTCAGTAGGCAGTAGCTCGTCCATGGGCTGGTGCTCGGTGGAGAAGTGAACTGGCGTGGGGTTCCAAATGGGTTGCCGATCATTCGGGTTCCACTTCTCTCCCTCTTCTAGCCTAGCGTTATCCACCCAGCTGACTGCAGACTCCAGCGCAACCTTTCCGAGTCCGTTCTTCTCTTTACGAGCGGCCAAATCCCCATTTGCCCTCCACGTCGCTCGTTACAAACCACAAGATACCTTTGCTGCTTTTTCTCACTCCGGCTGTGCCGTGCAACCTTCATACTGCTTTACTAATTTCAAGCCCACATTTGCCACAATCAACCTACCCTCGTTTCTGCATGCCTCTCCACTGCTAGTCGTTCCACATCATCGCCATCCCTCATGGGAAAGTGTAAGCCAACCCCCAGCACGCACCAAGCGTTCACCCCCCGCTAACACGTCTTGGTATGTAGGGAGATATGGTGTTGTCCTGGACGCCGGGTCTTCGGTGAGTGCTCATGAGGATTGCAATCCCTTATCGCATGGGTCCCGCTAACAGTACATAGGGGACGCGCGTCCACATCTATCGTTGGCTGAACAGCCAAAAAGCCCGCGAAAAGGCTTCCGACGCCCAACTGCACAGCCTGCCCGTCATCGAGACGAAGAAGAAGTGGACCAAAAAGATACATCCAGGTGGGTAGACGGTCGAGGAGCACGGGAGGCGCAAGTAATACTCACACCATGGCGCAGGCATCTCTACCTTTGGCGAACACCCACACGATGTCGGCATCGAACACCTCGAAGACCTCCTCAGCCATGCGCTCAAGCAAATACCCTCCGAAGACGTGCCCAATACCCCGCTTTTCCTGCTCGCAACCGCTGGTATGCGCATACTCCCCGAGCGTCAACGGAAACAGGTGCTGAAAGAGGTGTGCGATTTCACGCGCAAGACGACCAAATTCCAATTGCCGGATTGCGACGTGCACGTTCAGGTCATTCCGGGGGAGACGGAAGGGCTGTATGGCTGGATAGCGGCCAACTACCTTCTGGGTGGGTTCGACCAACCGAAAGACCAGGGGCACCACACGTATGGCTTCTTGGATATGGGAGGCGCATCTGCGCAAATCGCCTTTGCGCCAAATGCGACCGAGGCAGAGAAGCATGCAAATGATTTGACGCTCATGCGACTACGAACCCTCGGTGGCTCGCCCCTCGAATACAAAGTCTTTGTGACGACCTGGCTAGGCTTTGGTGTAAACCAGGCGAGAGAACGATATATCAAGGCTTTGCTGGATTCGAGTACATCGAAAGAACTACCCGATCCTTGCCTCCCAACAGGGTTGAAATTGGAAGTCACAGAGGACGGGAAAGTCATTGATCCAGATTCAGACGACGATTCAGACGACGACGACAAGCCAAAACCGAAAGCTGCGGCCAAGCTAATAGGCACTGGGGGGTTTTCACAATGCTTGCACCAGACATATCCATTGCTGGAAAAAGAGAAGGAATGCACAGACTCGCCATGCCTGATCAACGGACAGCATGTACCTGCAATCGACTTCAACGTGAACCACTTCGTAGGCGTCTCCGAGTATTGGCACACAACCCACGAGATCTTTGAAAAGGCATACAAGGACAAGGCTTACGACCTCAAGACCTACCAAGAGCGCGTAGACGAGTTTTGTAACCAAGATTGGAAAAGCATAAAACAGGGCGTCAAGAGTGAGAAGTGGGGCAAGAAAGTCGATGAAGAAAAGGCGCGCGAAGTCTGCTTCAAAGCATCCTGGATTATCAACATGCTGCATGACGGTATTGGCGTCCCCCGAGTAGGCATCGAAGACCTCAAGGGCAGCCAAAACACCACCAAAGCCGTGCTGGACAGTGCAAAAGAAAAAGGCTTCACGGACCCCTTCCAAGCTGTGCACAAGATTAAGGATATAGAAGTAAGCTGGACTCTTGGCAAAATGGTGCTCTACGCCTCGAGCGAAGTCCCACCACCCGACGAGCAAGCCCTCGCTGTAGGCTTCGGCTCCAACGTTGCCGGCATACCAGCAGACTTTCAATATCCAGGCGGAACACCACTCGTGTACGAGTCCGACAATGACTGGCACCGCCTCTTTGTGGAGAATCCCCAGCGCATCCCAGCCTTCTTCATCATGATATTCATGATCATCTTCATCTTCTGCCTCATCCTCGGCAAAGAGCGCCGAGCCACCGCGCTCAAATCCCTCCTCCACCTCCTCCCCAAAAAACAGGGCAAAGATCCGCTCCACCGTCGCCGTCGCGGCGGCTTCCCCCCACTCAAAATGTTTGGCCTAGGCGCCAGCGCCCTCTCCAACCCAACCTACGAGCGCGTCGACCTCGAAGAAGGAGGCTCCACCGCCAATGACTTTGAGCTCCAGGAAGCCTACCTCGACTCCTCGGACGACAACGAACTCTCCGATTCCTCGGACGGCTCCAAACTCGGTCGCACCTCTGGCTGGGCGACGCCGCAGATGAAGGTGGATTCTACGCCCCCCGCCCCGGGCTCGTATTTTGGCAGTGGCGATGTGTTGGCGCAGGGTGTAGGCTTGGGCTTGGGGCCGAGTGCGTTTAATCGCGCGGGTCTGATGGCGAGGACGGAGAGTAGTGATAGGGTGAGGAGTCGGGCGAGTAGTCCGAAGAGGGGAAGTAGGGGGTTGGGGAAGTTGGATGAGTGAGGGTGTGATGGAGGAAGTTTGCTTTTTTTACCTTTTTTTTGAATGTGGTATTGGCGTTGTGTGATCCTGGTGCTGGTGCTGCGGCGTTTTTTCCCTTGGCTTTTGAATGCATAGAACATCGGAGTTTGGGTCTGGTTTGGCTGTATGATGGGAATAGGGCTGGTTAGGCTTGGTTGGTTGTATTTTGTGCAGTAGGGTCTCAGGGCGGTTGAGGTCTTGGGGCTGCCCTTGGGAGGCTGTCTTGATGCTGATGGAAATTCTACATTTACTTGCGCTTGTTGATCAAGGTAACAACATGCAGGCCATCTTTCCACAACGTTCGTACCCACCATAGACACACACACACACATGCACGCCTCTGTTCACACACACACACACTTCCCCTCCCCGCCTACTCCTCCCCCAAAAACCTCAAAAACGCCCTCCCAACCACAACCCCATCATGCGCCCTCTCCACCCGCCCCAACGCCTCCCTCGCCATCTCATCCTCAAACACACCCTGCTCATTGCGCATCCTAACCAGGTGGCTTACAATGCCCGCGTTGAACTCTGGGTGCCCCTGGATGCTGAGGAGGCGGCGGGGTTCGTACATGCCTTGGGTTGGGCAGGCGGGGGAGGAGCCGAGGGGGATGATGGACGGAGGGTAAGTGTGCAGGGCGTCGCGGTGCATTTGGTGGATTGACTGTTGGGATGGGGGGTATCAGTCTGGGGTTTAGAGTTGTGATGCTGTTGGGAAGAAATAGCAAAGCCAAGCGTGTGCTCCAAAAAAAAAGAAGAAAAAAACGGGGTGGTGAGTCTGCCAAATAAGCAGTGGTGAGCAAGAGAGAGGAAACAACAAGATACATACCAGCGTATCCTGGCCAAATAATTCCTTCCCCTTGGCCGTCAGTTCAACCGGTAAAACACTGATTTCCCAGCCGCCCTCGCTGCGTCCGACGGGGGCGCCGAGCGCGCGCCCGAGAATCTGGTGCCCGAAGCAGACGCCTATGATGCGGATGCGGGACTGGGCGAGGAGGGTTTGCGTAAACGAGACGAGTTTTAGGATCCAGGGGTCTGAGTCGAAGGAGTTGTATTCTAGCGGGGGGGTTGGGTGGTTGTGTTAGTTTTTGGTGGGAGTGGGAGTGGAAGAGGGGGGAAATGGGTAAGCGGGTGAGGGGTGTTGAGATGAGGAAGGATGAAAGTTTGATGTGAAAGAAAACAGAATGGGAAAGATAGGATGAAGAGTCAAACAAGTAAAGTAATAGTATCGGATATCCATAAAAAAAAATCTAGAAGACGACTAGGAAAAAGAGAGAGATCAAAACATACTTGAGCCTGATATCAGCACAGCGTCGATGTCGTCCAGATTTGGATATTCCTGGGCGGTCACGACGTCAAAACTACTCAGTACCAAGTCTTTCTTTGGATCCATTCCCAAGTCGACGGCTGCGGTTTCCAGCAGGGTGGTGAAGATGTCGCCGTATTTGCCATATTTGTCTATGATGGCTGGGGGTGGGGTATCGCATTCTAGAATGGCTATTCGGAGGGGTGTTTTCATTGTGGATGTTTTCTTTTGGGCGTTTGGGAATTAGGGTGCTCTTGGCTCGTTGTTTGGTATCTTGAGTCTGGTAGTTTGTAGTCTGATGTTTGACGTTTGACGTTGATGTTGGAGTAGAGTCGAGATGAGGATGGCGTCGGGTTGGCGGCCGTTGATAACGAGGGCGATTTCGGCCGCGGGAAGACTAAGCTGAGAGGAGTTTGGTGGGTTGGGAATGACTCGGAAAAGTTGCGTATTCTGGGGTCTGTCAGCTTTCAACTTCCTTTGTTTTCAACGATACTGAGGATTGCAAGAACTTTGCTTTACTATTCGATTGCATATATCCTGGTTGGGGTGTTTGAATCCGTGAAGTGCATCCGGATAAATCTCTATTAGCATGCCCTCGACCACACGCGAGAACAAGCGGTATCCGCGTGCTTCCGAACACACTCCGCTTCTTCAGTCGACATCCGAACAGCGCAGTAATGGCACGATTGTTTCGGCAGATGCTTGGCAGACAGAGGCAGTCCAGCAGGGCGAAGGCGGTCCGCCTCAGGTCCCAAATCTTCGAAAGAGCAAGGGTCATCCAAATGAGCTGCCAGTAGCAGCCGACAGCGAAGCGGCGGAAGAAGTAGATCTCAAAGATCTAGTCAGATTCAAGAAGAATGGAAAACTAGAAGGTGTCAGTGATTGGCAATTTAAATGTGTATTCGGTGGTATCGTTGTAATGTTGTTTGTAAGTCGGGTTTTTTCACCTACCAGTTGTATCTGGGCTGACATTGAAATCAGATTGCCATGTTCGATTCTACACTCATGGCATCGAGTCATCCGGTCATCACATCTTACTTCCATGCCTCTAACTCAGCATCCTGGCTTTCAACTGCTTTCCTATTGACTTCGACATCATTGCAGCCGCTCATGGGTCGGCTGTCAGACACGGTTGGCCGCAAGCCGCTATACGTGGCTGGAATCTTCATACTGACAGCCACTACAGCATGGTGTGCACTTGCGCAGAGTATCGGAAGCTTGATCGCTGCTCGTGCATTCTGCGGCATTGGTGCAGCTGGTATGTTGTCAATGGGCAACGTCATGACCAATGACCTTGTCAGCATCGAGATACGAGGCACGTATCAAGCGTATATTAACCTATTCTATGGCGGTGGTTCTGCCTGTGGTGCTGCCTTTGGAGGGTTTCTGTGCGATAAGCTCGGCTGGCGAATGACCTTTGCACTGCAGATTCCTTTTCTCTTGCTTTTGCTCATGAATGCCATCTTCACCACACCGACGTTTCTTGGCCCTAACTTGGCCAAACGCTCAGGATTGGGAATCAAAGATGCGATGAAGGGATTCGACATTGCCGGTTCCATTCTCTTGATGGGCTCCGTGGCTTTTCTCATCTTGGGTCTCAATCTAGGCGGGAACGTCTATCCATGGAAACATCCAATCATCATCAGCTCACTGGCCATTTCGCTCATCACAGGCGCAATCCTCATCCGCGTCGAATCCCGAGCCTCAAGGCCAGTCATGCCTCTCCCTATGCTCTTCAGCCAACCACGCGGCAACCTCGTCTTCAACAACTTCTTTGCGCAAATCGGCATGAACACCATTCTCTTCAACGCACCCCTCTACTTTCAAGCCGTCCAGCTTGAATCCGCCTCGGTCTCGGGATTCCGCCTCGCTGGACCTAGCGTCGCGCTCACGGTTTGCGGTGTATCAGCAGGTGTCATCATGACGGCGACAGGACGCATGAAGTGGCTCATTGTCGTTGGCTCACTCGCCATGCTTCTTGGTGCTGCTTGTCTATCATCCATGTGGGACACGATACCGTCATGGCTTGCGACCATCTTCCTCGTCCCATCGAGTATCGGACAAGGCTTGAGTTTCCCGGCGGCCAGCCTTGCCGTGCTCGCAACAAGCAATCAGGAGGAGCAAGCCGTGATGGCGAGCACCTTGATTTTGTGGCGCAGTCTAGGCATTGTGATGGGTGTTTCGCTGAGCAGTCTCATCTTACAGAACGCCTTGACGGTGTACCTGGAGCGGTTTGTCACCGGTCATGGCAAAGACAAGGTAAGCTTTGCATAGCCTTGTGCTTGCGTTGTGTGGTGCGGCGTGTTCACCTCCCGCACCATCATACCATTCGCTGGCATCAGGTTATTACCTCTGCGTCACCAGCTTCCGAGTAGGTCGACACAACGCTGACCATCGTTGACAGATTATCCAGCGCGTACGCAAATCGGTCCGAAGTATCATCGACTTGGATCCCAAACATCAAGATCAAGGCAAGTCAAGTCTTCATCCGCTTCCGAAACCATCAATATACACTGCTCACTCCCAGACACGCCCTAGATGCTACACAGCCTCCAGCACTAACATACCCCGCAGTAATCCAAGCGTATAGCCAGAGTCTGCGACTCGTCTTCATCTCCGCAATCGTCGTGTTTGTCATTGTCAACGCATTGGTTTTCGCAGTCGATCTACCGCATCTGAGGAAGCGCCAGAGTGTGCAGGAGGATTGCGCAGACGGGGCGGATGGGCGGGAGGATTTGTAATTATTGACTTGTAATATTGACTTTGCTTCGTGGTGTTGGATGTGGTATTCATTGTTGCACCAAGGGCAGGGTAGTAACTGCGCGTTGGATCAAATAGGGCTGTGCAAAGGGACTGTGTAATGGGAGATTGCTGACGCATATGCATACGGTGTATACGGTGAGGGTTCCACATGTGAAACCCTCAGTGAGGTGTACAATGGGTGGGATGGCGTGTGAGTAGCCATCGTAAATACATGTAATTCTACAGTGGTGGTAGGGAAAAAGTGTGGTAGTGTGGGTACACATGTATCAACGCTCTTGACAGCAAGTAAATCCACACGACAAAATTTCATTCCAGCATAGGTACTCAAACTCCCACTACCCTTCCATCCCATTACTCACCCCCCAAACCACCACAAACCCCCTCACAGTGACACCTCCCAACGAACCCCAACCCCACCTCTACCCATCAAACGGCCGCATAACCTCATTCGCAACCACAGCGGCAACAAACCCCTCATTAACAGTACTATGACACCAAGGCTTGCGCCCCATCTCCCTCTCCATCATCGCCGCGAACGCGCAACTGCAGCCCTGGCGCGGAAACGCGGCGGTCACGTTTTCGATTGTTGAGGGGGCGATGAGGTGGGGGTTGAGGCCGAGGTTGTCTGTGGTGGGGTTAGCTGGGGTGCGTTGCTGGTGTTGGGAGAGTGTGTGCGGGATACTGGGTTGGGGTGGTGTGGGTGGTTGTTGGGGGGTATCCAGTAGATGTTGTAGGTATCTTCAGTTTAGAAACTGACAGTATACCACTCGTCCAACAAGGCATCCCCCCCCAAAAAGGATTAAAAAGCCCCCCCAAAAAAAACTCCAAATCCCGTCCCCAACAGCACTAAAAACCCCAATCCCGTCACCGACCCCGTCTCCCCAAAATCCGCATGGCGAATAATCGCCTCCCCAACCGCCTCCACCTGGTCCGTGGGCGCGCCATTTTCGCGCAAGAAGTGCATGGCCTGGATGGCGCCGTGGTATTCAAAGGACATGTTTGTGGCGGCGAGGTTGGTTGGGGTGGTGCCGAGGTCGTGGAGGAGGCAGGTGAGGTAGAATTTTTCGCGGAGGGGGTGGAGGTGGGGGAAGTGGGTTGATATGAGGGCGTGGCCTGGGGAGGGTTAGGGGGGGTGAGGAGGGGAGGGGGATGGAGAGGGGGATGGAGAGGGGGATAGAGAATGGGATAGAGAATGGGATAGAGAATGGGATAGAGAATGGGATAGAGAAGGGAATAGAAAAGGGAATAGAAAAGGAAATAAAAAATACTATCCAAAACTTTCTCCAAAAAAAAAAACTCCCCCCCGAGTCTAAAAAACTTCGCCAACAAAGGTCTCCAGACAAACTCTCCAGACAAAGTCCCCAGACAAAGCCTCCCAAGAAATCAATCAACCAAATCCCACCCAATACCAAACTCTCCCAAAACTCCACTCCCCATACCAAAAAAAAACCCCGCAAACAATGATGAAACGTGCGGGCAGACACCTTCGCCTTGACAAACTCCCACGTCTTCCGCGCAAGCTGCGAGTCCGGCAATTCGCACGCCTCCGCGGCCAGCACGGCTTGCTTGTCGGGATCGATATCGGCAAGACTGTTTGTGAAGCTGCGGGGGACGGGGAGCCAGCCGTTTGTGAGGAGGGTGGTGGGTTCGGGGGTTGGGGTGGGAAGATTGTTAAGAGAGGGGGATTTGATGGCTTTGGGGGATTGAGGGGTGGTGAGGAGATGGGCTGGGGAGTTGTGGGAGAGATGGGTATGAAAGAGGAGGTTCATGTACATGTTCGTGAGTAGCAAAGAACATGTCGTAGTGCGCCTTGTCGCCTGAAGGGGACCAAGGGCGCAAGTGTCCAAATCATGACAAGGTACGGTACAAGTATGATTGTCAGAATGTAAATACTACTAGTACATCCAGATGATACAGAAAAGGCTGGATTCTGAGCACCTTGGCAATAACGTGCAACACAATACATGTACATGATGCAGCGCCAATTGTACAACAACGGAGCATTGCTTTTCCTGGTGCACACTATTTCTAGATGCCAAGCATGCAGCCGTTTTGATGTTTTGCCAGACGTGTGTAATTTCAAGCTGGGAAAGCAACTCAGAGCGCTGGGTACTTACTACAGTAGGTGTCTATTTCTACACCGGATGCGCCCTGCGTGCCGAAAGGGGTAAAGCGTCAGATGAAGGGTGCAAGCTGATTGGCTGGCATGACTGAACGCAGCAGCGCGCTCTGTAGACGCCGCGGTTGGCAACTTTCTGCATGTCAGCGGTCATGACGCGTCCTCGAGGCTCGAGGGCAGGCAGCACGTTGCGGAATAGGTTGGCCATGCGAATGGAAGATGAGTCTCCTCCTATGCGCAGGGCGGGCTCTGGAAACAAGCAAGCTTTTCTTGATACACGACTGCGCATGAGAGTAAGCCAGCCCATGAGGCGCATAACATGCGTCATCATACCGTCGACGACGATGCGATCGTGGGAGGGGAACTGGCTAGCTGATAGGCTACTAGGGTAAGCGACGTTTGCAGCCAGTTTCCAGACGGCAAAAGGTCATGAGGGAGGCAGACAATGGCATCACGTCTTTGGGAGTGTGGATGTAAGCCTGCCAAGTTTGCAGGCCAGGCCATTCGCAGTTCTTGTGTGCAGCAAGCCTTGTGGTAGAGAAGAGCAGTGGAAGCTTGGGAGAGTGACTTGGCGGGCGGGAGGGCCAAAGGGCCGAAATGCAGGATGACGACGTCTGGCCAGTGACGAGTGGAGGGTGGTCGGTGGCAAGATGATGGGCTAGCTACCGGCACTTGTCTGGCATGCAAACATTGGCTTTGGTGATGGAACGCGAGTTGATCGTACCGGCGCTTTTTAAGGTTTCGTTGGCGGAAGGGCAGGGGGAAAGTAAGGATGACGCGCACGACGGACACAACGCCTTGTCCTTGTTGTGCGGGAGATGTGCACCTTCCCTCGGTGGCCCGAGCTGTGGCGCGCTTGCCAACATCGGATATTAGCGTCCGGCGAGTTGTCGATAGGCATCGCATGATCGCCAGGCACAGTCTCTGTGCTGTGCTGGGACTTTGTTCCACCCTGGAAGTTGTCTTCACCTCGGTTCCCAAGAAATGAGGAGGATGATGATGATGATGATGATGATGCTTTTTTAGCAAGTAGAGTATCATAATGGTGCAGCGTTGCGCAAAGGCTGTGTAGACTGTAGATGGTCAAGCGGCGGCGGCGGCGGCGGCGGCGAAGAGCCATGGTCGAGAGGGATAGGGGCGACCAGTTGGAACAGAGGAGATGGTCGTGTTCTTCACTCATGGGTGCATTGCCTGTCCCAGCTGTCCGAGGGCAAAGTCTGGGCAGCGTGATGAGTGGTCAGGGGAAGCGGAGGGCAAGGCTCGAGATGGGTATGGTAGGTAAGGCGGCGAAAAGGAAGTGTTGGCAAAGTTCATGTTCATGTCCGACAATGACGCTCAGACACGGTAGGCGAGTGGGCGTGTCTTGGCTTCATTTGCGGGTAGAGCAGAGTGCTCCCTACTAGACTGGACTGGACTCGTCCTTCTCCTGCCTCTGCGCTCCCCTGTGCGACGTCGTTGTGCTTGGTGTCACAGCCGCTGTTGCGTTGCCAGGAGAGACCAGCTGGCTCCGCTGGCAGGATTGGCGGGTCTCGTAGTGTACATGTGATTGTATATACATGTACTGTGAGATGTAGTTGGCCGGCCAAGCGGACAAATATGCAGCCAACCGTCACCCTCTCCTCGCTCTACTCTAGTCTTACTCACACTGTGGTACTTGCACCCCCCAACTAGAGTACTACTTCGATACTCCACACGTACTCTGCCTGTTCTGCTCTACTGTGTGGGTACTTGGTCTAGCAGTGAAAGAATAGAGTAAAAAAGAGAGACGATTCGCTTGCTGGGCTTTGTGGTGGTGCAACAAGAGGTGGTGGAAGAGAGGGAGAGAGAGAGAGAGAGAGAGAGAGAGGGAGAGAGAGAGAGAGAGAGAGAGAGAGCGAGAGAGAGAGAGAGAGCGAGAGAGAGAGAGAGAGGGGAGGGGAGGGGAAGTGCTAATTGTCCTCGCCACAATAGACTAATCGTCCTCGCCCTTCCCACTTAGCGCCGGGTACCCTGGCCGCCTAGCAAATTAGTAGCAAGCTAAGGTAGCACTAACTATATTGTGCTTTTAAAACGTATTAGATAGAAAATATTTAGTAAGGAAAAATTCTAGGTATATATATAAAGTAGACTAGTAGTAAAAAATAAGTAGTAGTAAGGCTATTTAACCTAATATATAAATATTATATAGTAATAGGATCCTACTAAAATATACCTAAATATCTAATTTCTTATTACTTAAATATATCGCCCCTAACCTAACTAATATTACCTACTACTATAGAGTTAGTAGGCTCTATTAAGCCTATAGAGCTACTATTACCTATTACCTTAGAGGACTTACTAGAGTCCTCTACTAAGGATTCTAATATTAAGGAGCCTAATCTATCTTACTAATATAAGCAGGAAGATAAGGAGTCTAATTTAGAAGTCCTATTAGATACTAAGCCTAAATCTAAGTTAGAATCTAAGCTAGATATTCTAGTTAAAGCTATAGTTATTTAGCCTAGCCCTTAATAAGGCCCTTACCTGCACTATAAGTAATACTAGCCTTGCTAGATTAAGTATAGAGTACTACGTAGTAAGGTTAGTAAAGGAGTCTATAATCTTACTAACCTTTAGAAGCTATTAAATTATAAGTATAACTATCTTCTACTACTAGAAGCTATATATAATAGCTTTAATAAGGCTATCTAAGCTATAAATAAGTAGGTAAAGTCCTATAGGGTAGCCTATAATAAGTAGTAGTAGTAGAAGAAGGGGCGTTATTAGCTTCTTATAGTGTGTAATTAGTAAGGAGGTAAGCCTAAGGTAGGTATAGTAAGGGTTTAGGTAAGAGTAGGCGCTAGTACTATATAGTATAACTATAAAATAAAGTTTTAGATTATAGTAGATAACTATTAGGATCTTAGTAGTTAGTAGTAAGTTAAATAGGTAGAGGATAAGCTAAGTATTACCTATAATTACCTACTAGTTTCTAACCTATATATAATAGCGTAGTACTAATAGGTAACACGTTTAGCTAAAATAGGTACTAAACTCTAGAGCGTGTTTAAGATAGTATATAGTTCTAAATAAGCGCTTCTATTAATATAGGAAAGGTATCCTAATATATATTTTTTATATAAAGATATTTAGAATAAGTATTACAAGTTCTAGGTAGCTAGAATAAGTAGCTAGACGCGGGTAGAGGCGTTAGTAGAGGAGATAGATAAGGGAAACTATTAGTATTAGTAAGTAGTATTTTAATATTTCTTATAGTATTATAATCTATAAAAAATATTTCCCCCTAAGCTAGGCTTCTTTAGGGATATACTAGTCTTACTAAGGTTAGACTGCGTCTATGCTTTAGAATTTCTGCTACTAATTTAGAACACTAAAACTTTTAGTTATAGTATTAATATAGATAGCTATATTACCTCTATTATATTTTTCTATCCTAACTCTATTTAGCTATTCTAGGAGTCGCCTAATATCCTCCTTATTAACTGCACCTTTAAGATAAATAAATACTACTTTCCTCTTATTAATTTTATTAGCTTAGGTAGTAATAACAAGATAATCTAGCTTAGGGTAGTAATAATCTATAACTAAGATAAGGCTATATTCTTATAGGTGCTCTAAAACCTCTATAAGCTCCTTAACTCCTATAGTATTATAGTATAATTTTAGGCTATTAATTATAATCTAGCATTTCTAAATATATTAGATTAGGTATTTAACACGCCTAGAGTTATTATTTACTACTAGTATATAAATAAGGACGTTCTATTATATCTATAGTTAAAAGTTTTAGCAGAGTTTAGGTAGTGTTATAAGGGTTACACCTAGGTTAATAATAATAGCACTACTAAATATTTGCAGCTATACTACAACCTTATTACCTTACCTACTAAAGCTAACTATTTAGCTAATCTACTATTATATAAGCAAAGATCTACTACTATAACTACCTACCTCTAGTAGTATTAGCTTAATAACTACTCTACTAAGATTATAAGTTATTATATTAATAAGCACCCTTATTTCTAGCTTACTATAATAAGTAAAGTTAAGGGAGCGCACTATATTATTAAGGAGTAGCTATAAGGTAGTTAAGCTAACCTCCTTATACTATTTTAAAGGCTCTACCTATTCTATAAGGAGCATGTAAAGCATATAAGGTTAATAAATAGTATTAAGAACTTCTAGCTTTAATTTAACTATTATAACCTAATATTTTTAGTAGTATTTAGGCGTATAACCTAGTATACGCTTATAATAATAGTAAATAACCTAGCTTACGCGCGTACTAAGCTATATAAGTAGTAGCTTAATAGTGCCTACAAGTTCTTGTAGTATACTAACTAATATAGTAGGACGCTTAGTATACTATATTAGTATTTTCTAGTAGATCTAGAGCTTTATTTAAAGGTACTATAAGTAGTAGATTACTACCTATATTAGTAGGTTAATTGCAGCTAGGCTCCTTACCTTAAAGTTACTACTACTCCTTATAAGCTATAGATAATTATTACTAAACTACACGCTAAAAAATCTTACTATAAGGGCGCAGGCTAGTCTAGTAACTAGCGCAACCCTACTTTAGCTAAGTAGATTAATAATAACTACCTAGCCTTACTACCTACTATAATACTAGCTTATATAAGGTAATAGTAGCCTACTAAGCACGTATATATTGTCCCTTGCCTACCCTAATTATAGCCCTAACCTCTACCTATACTATAACCCTTACCCTGCCTACTATAGTTAGGTTAATATATTAACCTACCTACTAGTTATAACTACTAAAATTAGCTCCTAGGTAGGTAATTTAGTAATCTAATAGGTAGGTAGGCAGGCAGGTAATAGGCCTACTGTGAAGGACTTAGGCTTATGCCTAAGCCTAGGTCTAATACAAGATGGACCAAGTCTAACACTACTACTAAGCAAACACACTAGACACCTATAAAAAGGCGTAGAGGGCTTATCTCTCCTTTAAGATACTAAATACTATTATTAACGCTTATTATATTCTCCTTTAAGGCTAGTCTATAATATTTTAGTATCTTCTTCTAAATATACTATAATAGTAATAAGAGATAGACACGCTAGATATTTAGAATAACTAGGTATAACCTAATATAGTAGAAAGGCTAATATAATAGGTCTATAGATTAATAGAATAATAGGCTTAAGACTCTACTATAATAGCTATACTACGTTAATAGAATAAGGAAATACGTAATTAGATTCTATCCTAACCCTCCTCTAAGCCTGCTAGGTTTAATAATATACTACCTCTGCCCTCTCCTACTTTATATTATAAACCCTTCCTAGTTAGCTTGCTATATAATAGCACTAAGGTAAACTTCTCCTTCTAGTAAATAACTATAGAGTTTAAACTATATATAGATAAGGTCTTTATTAGGGATAAGAAGGCAAGGTTTATATATATTTAGTCCTAGTTATTACCTATAGTCTAGCGCGCTATAGTACTATACTTTAAGGATAGTGTATATAAGCGTTAGGATATAAGCAGGTTTCTTAACTACCTAGTATTCTATTATAGTAACTATTATAGGTAGGAGCGCGCCTAAGTTATATTAGAATACTTATATTAGGGCTAAAATTAGCCTTTTATAAAGTTCTTTATAAATTTTATATAGCTCCTTATATAGTTAGGAGGTTTATACTAGAATAATAAATAGAAGCTTTTATAACTTTAGTAATCTCTTAATAGTTATATACGCTTAGTTTCCCTTAATAGGGGAGTCTCTAGGATAAACTATAATATAGCTATAGAGGAATATAAGATAATTATAGTAGATATTAAAATAGTATCTCTAGAACTAGGTTTTCTTTAGGCTAGTAAGTTTAAGGAACCCTAGTAGAAGTCTAACTTAGATTAGGATAGTAATATAAATATAGTAGAAGTAGTAGCCTTATTAAGTATACCTACTAAACTACTAATATTACGTCCTAACTAGATCCTATAGGACCTATTTAATATATAGAAACTAGCAAAGGTCTACACCTAGTATAGATAGGGTAGTTATTTTATATATACATGCCCTAATACCCTATTAGTATAACTAGTAGGTGTTAAGATAGTTATAGTATTAGCAAGCAGCCCTAATTTAGGAAACTAGCTACCCCTAACTTTAGGCTAAGTTAGGGGTATAAGGAGGATACTATAATAAAGGAATTATTAATAGTAGAGGCTATTAAGTATCCCCTAGATATTAAGGCTAGGTTAAATAATCCTCCTTTCTTTATTCCTCTCCTCCTAGGTAGAGTAGAGAATATATAAGTAATAGTTAATTTAGGGTGCTAGTATTTTAGTATAGTTAAGGAAAAGTTAGTAAGATAGATTAGTAGGAACTTTATAGATATTCCCCTGTAACCCTTATAATATACCTAGGGAATTACTAAGGGTATAAGAATTTTATAGTTAGTAGTATTAAATTATAATTTAAATAGTTAGTAGTCTTAGCTTTTAGCCTATATAGTACCTAATCTCTCCTATTAACTAATACTAGGTAGACTATAGCTATGTAAAGAGGGCGTTATTATAGATATTCTATAAGGTAAATTAATAAT